TTCATCAAGAAGGTCTACAGCATTTGCTGCTATACCAATGCTCAGCCAGAAGTTTTCGGAACAGACATCATTCCGATGGTATGTCACAACCGCCATATCGATCTCGAGAAGACCGTCCAGAAGGTTGAGCAGGTGTGCAAATACTTCCACATGGATCCATCCAAGGCAAAACAGATCACCGACCTCATCCTCTGGCGAATCGAGCGATTGAGCAGACTGTTTTCCGGATGTTTCCGACATGATTCCACGCTAGGCCAACACAGAGAATGCAAACGACAAGTGGACATGGGTCTTGATGGATCCGTTGAGCTCTACGATGCATTGACCTGCATTACGCATGCCAGGAACTTCATGGGCAATAAGCCAGGACTTCTCTTGATGGCTATGTTCCCGAACTATGGAAAGGCACGTTTCGAGATTGCGTTCGTGTATCCGTGGACGGGTCATACAATGAGCGCAAGGCAAGGGGAGACATTGTTCCAAGAAATCGATGGATCGACAATCTCAACTCCAGATCCGCATACAATGCACTCCGGCCCAATGGCAAGGAATTCCTCAATGATCCCGAAGTTCTACGTGAGATGCAACAGCGGTCATACACGACAAGTCGATCTCCAATCTGTTGGACGACCCCTGTGCTCCGAGCAGAAGAGTGAGCCTCGCCAAGAGGAACCGGACTATGACCTTCCAACGGAATCCATTCCTCCAAGTCCGCATCCGTCAAGATCAGACGCGCCCCATGAAGACGAAGGCACAGCTCAGGCAAAGTCCAGAATGCGAAGGCCGGCACCTCAATCCATTGAAGAAGAGAGAAAGATCAAGCCGTTCGCGAAGAAGCCCATCACTTTCATGTTCCCATGCTACATATGGAAAAAACCTGATCAACATCATGGAGCACGGGCTGAAATCTGGGAGATCCCAGTCGAACCCTTCGGGGAGAGCGCACATCCACATGGCATGCATCGACGACGTTATCCTTGATGACGAAGCGTCAGAAGCCGCATTGACACATGTGCCAACAGGAAGAGATGCTTTGTTGATCCTGGCATTCCTCAAGGACCAGGACTACGACATCCGACTCTCCGAAGACCGAACAGCATTGACAGATCAAACCATCGAGGCGAGGAACATTGTTGCAGCATTTGATTCCGAAGGAACCATCATAATGAGTAACAGTTGGACCATGAAGAAAAATCTCGGTCGTGAAGACATTGAGATGTACAACAGCAAGATCCAAGAATTCGCCGATGCCTTCTTCAAACATGTGAATAACGACCACCAAAACGAGGAAAAATCCGAAAAAGATACATCCACAGAGACCAAGAAGCGACGGCGCTCCACCGATCAGGACAAAGTTGAAGAGGAGAACATGGAACCCTCCGGGGAGAGATCCGTCAAGCCAAAGGTCACCATGGAGTATCGAAATTCCGAGAACCTAGACGAGTTCATCCAGGAACTCAAGGAAATCTACCTCAAAATAGAAATGAGCAAGAAGGACGCCGAGGAAGAGCTCGTGGAGACCACAAGGAACTTCATCCGCTTCATCCAAAGGGAGCTCATCCTAAATTGACAGAATGCGAGAGAGCCTCATTGGCACACGTCGATCCCGATGTCAACCTCGAAGAAGAAGAGTTCTATTTCCGCCATCGAGGCCATGGACGAGTACCGGAAGGCACAGCCAGTATCAGGATATCTGATTAAGCTTCCACTGGGATTGAAGAAGCTTAGATCACATGACAACCCAGAAGTCATTCGAGCATTTGCCGACATCCTGGGATCGCTGATGCAGCCGACCGACCGTCCCTCTGTGGACCATCTCAAGACGCATGAGTTCACCTCATCCCTGACGATCAACATGCTTACTATGAACCATGGAAACCTCACGAGGAATCCAAAGCTGGACGGCAGGGAGGTGTACAACATGGCGATGAAGGACCGACCAATCGTGAAGATGATGATGCAGAACAGCGCACACATCTTATGCCTCAATGAAGCAGACGCATTCCTCAGTCCTCAAGATGATAAATCCAGAGAACTCATCAAGACGTTCATCCGATTCGGGTACAAGGGCATCGTTATCAAGCAATGGTCATCCAGACCAATTGCATGCTTTGTCCGCGGCGGACCTTCCGCAAGAGTGGAACTATTGGCAAGACACACTTCCACAAAGAGTCAGAATTGGGGAACCACATTCGGGATGTTCAGATGCTTCTTCGGAACCGAGGAAAATTGCACTGATCCTGAATACGACATTCCGACCTCGGATTGCTTGGCAACTACGGGACCATCCATGTTTACTGAACCCAAGAAGTACATTGGACCGAGATTGCCAGGATGCACCACTGTTCAAGGACACGGACGTAACAAAGAGATTGTTCTCCACATCGAGCAGAGTGACAAGTATCGCGGTATGCTCCCCAAATCATCCAACAAATCACTCCTCGAGTTTGACAGCCGCCACGTAACGAGGGCAGACCTCCCGTTTGCTACCATTGGAGTTTTCCACATTCATCCATCAATCAGCCATGGAGCAGCACGGGAAGATCTTCAGAACGAAATCCTGCCACTCGTGACATAGTACCAATGCGATGCGATCACTGGAGACGCCAACAAATCCGCGAATACCTACAGCAGACTCCAGCATGTCTTCAATCCGGCCAAAGGTCTCATGAATATCCTCATGAAGGAATATCAGAGATTGTGGAATGAAACGGAGAATCTGCAACTCGTGGACAGAATGGAGTATGCAATGGAGACTTCATGCACCCTAAAACCCATTGTCCGTCATCACTTATATATGAAGACTGGATCAGGGTATGACCGAACATTCCCAGATGTGATGATGACATTCGTGTTTGGATGGGGCAAAACGAATATCCAGCAGGTTTTCCGGAAGGAAGAAATGAACGCCATGAGAGATGAACAACTGGAAGCCATGCGGAACGATCCAACGTCTGCCATTTTCGACTATCAGGTCTCATCCGCGGAACGTGAACAACGATATGTTCATGAATGGCTCACAAGATTCCGACTCGCACAGTCCGCTGATGGTCTACATCCGCAGCAGATCTGCCGCCAGGCAACGCAACTTTGAGAGATCCAAGGAGCACCTCAAGAAGAAGCAATCTTGGACTCAGCAAGAGTACAAAGAGTACAACAAGCAGTACTGGGGCAATCCAAAGCAATGGAAAGACTATGGCGACTCGACCTGGAATGATTATGGAGACTTTGGCAGTCAATCCGACAGCAGCAGCCGGTGGTACCGCTGATCACTTGATGAAGCAGCCACCTTTGGCACTTATTCGACCGACTGAGAAAACTCCCACAATCGACATTACGAACTACAACCAGATTGATCAACAAGACTATTCAGTGAGAGATCAATAGTTTCACATCCGTCCCGCGTGTACATAGCGTTGTGCATCACCTTTTCGATACATCTAGGTATCTCACAGAATCAGTACAGACTGTTTTCCATTTTGCTCACATGACAAATCATCCGCGCCAAAATTGGATGAATCATTGTAACAATACATGGCTACGGCACTTTCAAATATGGCTACGGCACGTAAGGCCAAGAAGCCAATCATACACTTTGGTGTGAAAGGTCAAAAGAAATGTGTGTCTGTTTTGTGTTGCTTTTTGTTGCACATTGACCTATTCACACACTCTGCTGACATGATGGCTCAAGGCCCTTCAAGTCATTTGTACAGTCATTCGACTCATGGTACATTGATAAAAAGGCTTGCAGACCGCTTTGCAGGATTCACAGTCAACACAAGCCACCAGGGACAATCCATCCTCCAATCCTCCATAATGGCATATTGGACTCTCTCTGGAATAGATCCAGGGACCAAATCAACGACCTCTACTACCACAGGGTACCAGTTCCCTTCTGGGATAGGCACCCCGGCAGTGGGCCTCACCCGCCCCCCCAAGTGGGCGTATTTTTGTCTAGGGCACCCCCCAAAATGGATGTTGGTCTGTCCTTTTGGTCTCCCTTTGAAACCACAAAGAAGGGGAGTACCCACCCAAAAAACACGCCACCAAATAGAGGAAGATCGCGTAAAAGGTCGTCACGGACCGTTCACCCCAAGAACTCTTTGGACCACGGTACATATGGGATGGCACCACTTTGTCACCCCAAGAACTCTTTGGACCACGGCACATATGGGATGGCACCACTTTGAAACCGTGGCTGAAACCAGAATGTTGGTTGGTATTGAAACGCCTCACCAGGCAAGCTTCTTAGAGCATTCTTAGAACTTAGAAAAGGGTCCAACATCGGGATTCGAAAGCAACGATCCATAAAATTTGACACGTAATGCGTCTTGATGAGGTCGTGCATCGAAGAACCAGCCTACCCTCAAATACGAGGATTCGGTTGAGTACCTAGAGTTGTCATGACCCTTTGAAAATGGGGTCCTCACCCAAAATATGTGTTTTTTTCTTCGGAAACTACCACTAAACGGTAAAAAGCTAAAAAGCTAAGGAACCGGACGGCTGGGAGCCACCCAAAATTGGGGTTTCAAGAGTTCGATTCCCCTGCAACTAAGAAGCATGTGTTCAACCATGGTTTCAACGTGGGCTTCATGTGTTCGTCCATCCACAGTATTTCGGATGCTACACAAGGTATCGGAACTCGTTTACTAGACCCCGCCAAAAGAAAAAGAAACTGACACAAAGCAGACAGTTCCGAGAAGAAAAGAAACAACAAGAACAACTGATCAACAAATCCCAAAGACCCCGCCAAAAAAAACAACAACGAACACAAAGCAGAACGTGCCGGAGAAAAAAAAGAAGAAGAACAAAGACCAAAGCAAACAGTAAAAACAAAGTTACCCACAAATCCCAAACCTGAGCTGTCCTCAGATTTCCCGCTAAAAGTGACTAACTTTTAGTGGGCTAAATGGAGAACCCCGCTAAACACCAAAAAGCCGAAAAGAGGAATCGGATGGCTGGGAGCCACCAAGCAACCAATCCCGCTCCCACCCGGGTGCCTTACACTTGCAATGGCCGCGACCTCAGGCCACGGCTTCGCAGTTCGCGCCGCGCGAGTTCGGGCGACGGAGGCGCTTTTCGAATTTTCGAGCACAGGTGAATTCGATTTTGGTGGTACAAATCCCTGGTTTGAGACATGAGGGTTGATCAATATTCCGGTTGATCCCCAAACAACCATTCTAGGGATTGATTCCAACCATTCTTTTCAACCAGGGTTCTTTTCAAAAACCGGCTGCTTCCCCTGCGTTGTTCACGGTTTCCTGAAAAGAAGGATCCCTGGAAACAATGGGGAAGGTACCCCTAGAGCTTTGGTTCGAAGCGTTTGAGGCTTGTGTGTTCAAACCACCATTTGATAGCCCACGTGAGTCAAAATCAAGACCCAAGGAAGATTGGAGGGAAGGGACAATCATGCGGAAGTCCGCCATTCAAATTCATGAAGCACGGTTCTGGGCTTGAGCCATTTGAATCCCCGGTTTTGCTTGTGACTCAGTCGCCCTGAGACTTGATCCAGGCTCCTCGTCCGCCCTGAACGGGTCCAGAGCGCCAGGCTGTTCGCTGTTCGCCGCGAAAGGTACAGCACTGAACGCCAAAAGGAAAACCCGCATTTTGTTGTTTTTTATTTTTTGGAAGAGGGGGTGTCTCCCAAAAAAAGGAAAAACGCTTCTTCCTCTTCTTTTTATTTGTCTTCTTCTTCTTCTTTTTCTCATTCTTCTTCCTTGTTGATGTTTTTTTGGTGGGGGGTCCCCTAAAAATAAGACTGCTGGTGGTTTAAACCACAGCGGTCTTAACCATGTGGGAGAGTATGCACCGCTAGAAGCAGAACGCAAAAACTTCATCCGAGGCTGCGACACATGTCTTGGCACAGGTCGGACAGCTTTCCTGCATCGCTTGGCAGCTCGGGTCGCCTTGAACCGATTACATTTGCCGCTTTTTGGATTGGCCCAAATTCGAAAAGCGCCTAAAAATAGCCAAATGTCTCAAAATAGGAATCGGAAGCCCAAAAAGGGGTGGGGTCCTTTTGGTGTCGAATTTGAAGCCCAAAAAGGAACCCTCAAGAAAGACACACTTGTATGGGGATTCTGTGCTTTTTGTTCAGCCAAGGGTCTGTGAAATAGCTTCCCCGATCGCACCCGCAAAATGTCTTCCCAGTTCATCACAAAGAACAAGCCCGGGAGCCTTCATAGCCCTCTCACACTGCCCCACCTACTAACAATCTGACATTGTTGATGACAACCGCTTTCTGGGTTCCAGCAAAACATGTGCGTGTATACATATATAACACAAAGTGTTGGGTATATATATATATACATATATACTTATTTTTCCCCAGGTTCAAAACTATGCCCTCCGGCTGGCAATTTTGGACAAAGACCTATATGCGCCTGAAACATCCGTTTGACCTGCCTATTTTTCACTGTGACACACCTGAGCTTCTCGGAACTCGCAAGAACATCTCGGCCCAGGATCTCCCACGAATTGAAGCGCCTGTCGTTTCTGATGAAAATGGCCACAGCCATGGAAGCAAGGCTATAGTAACAATCAGTTAGCAGATTGACACCAAAAAAGACAGTTAGCACAAACCTCAACAATACCGAGACCCCGACTCACTGATTGTTTGCTATCTGCTCTAGTCAGGTCCCATATGCTAGCTGATTGTTACTCACTATAAATTGTCCCGCTCTTGAGGCATGGGTGCTTACACATCCAAACGTCCCTTGCTGATGCACGAGTCATCCGCGAGTCTCGCACTACGGTTTATAAAACCGTGGTGGAAACCATGTCTCGGAACAAGGGGAATCGCACGAAACCATTTCTTGCGTCTCTTGGTGGGGCATCGAATCATACTGTTGATGGAGGAAATCCATTTCGCACCACTCTGAAACCAGTGCTTATTGGTATTCACCTTGCGGAATCGAATCATTCCCTGGGTTCCTTAGCTCGGTTGCTTTCTGCTCCCCTGCTAAAAGCTTAACTTTCAGTGGTTCAATGGAAAACCCACTAGTTGGCAAAAAGTTAAAGTCCTAACATCCCTTGGCAAAATGCACCAAAGCCTAGATAGCCTAGTTGCTGTTTTTTTGAGCCACTGTTGCTGTTTTTTGGGGTAAAGTGGATGGAAATAAGCGATCGCAACTGGCGATCCAGGTGGTGCCAAAAACCGATTTTCGCCGCCATACTGTGGATGGACGAAATCCATTTCGCACCACCTCAGAAACCCCTGAATGATTCGATTCCCCAACGTAAATACCAACAAACAGTAGCTTCAACCATGGTTTCAAAGTGGTGCGAATTGGATCTCGCCACCATCGACAGTATGTCGGACGGAAGGATTTCCAACGGCGCGGTCCTTGGAGCTCTTCCCGCCGCCTCGTAGGAAGCCCCAAGCCGAATCCCACGGGGCGAAGGGAAAACGGCCGGAGGTTGCTCCAAAAAAAACCGCCCAGAGCGAGGATCGGGTCTTTGGGAGCTTTTGCGAGAAAACGGCCGGAAAGTCGGCTTAAGAAGCCAAGATCACTGCCGAAGAAAAAGTCGGCAAGACTTCAGAGTCTGGCAAAGCTTCCAAAGAAACTCGTGGGGCCAACTCCAGCTCCAAGATGTCTCTGGCGATTGGAAACCGAGCCATTTTGCTCCGAAGGCGACCCGCCGCCATCTCTCACAACTGATGGGCCCATGGCTCAAACAACCAGAACATGTGGTACTCTAGTGAGGATTAGAGGTCGGCCCAGATATAGAATGTATATTTTATTGTTTGCTTCACTTTGAGTCACTGGTAAAATGCAAAATGTATCCTAGGTCTACCCCAGTAGTGAGGATACTCCACCAACCATCGCCTTTACAACAGCAATGATCGCCATTGACGGCTCAGCACTCCGGTGCCTTGGGGGGGTTTGGACACATACGCATATCACCTTGCATGTCCCCATCAAACATCACCCAAAAAAACAACTCCAACAAAATTTGGACACGGAGCGGCACATGGGAAAGTGAAAATGGTGCACCATCCAAACGGCTAAGTTTTTGACGTTGGAAGGGAGCAAAACAAATATTTGTTTGCAGCTAAGTGGGGATTTCCCACTAAACCACAACAAGCAAATATGCAAAATGTTTCCTAACAACAACCTGTAAGTGGGTTTGTCTCAAAATATGGAAACCCTCCAGCCAGGGTTCCCTTGGTCCCTCAAAAGACTGACCCACCGATCCGGACCCAGAAATCGACATCTCGGTTGCCGGCGCCACGTCCAGCTCGTCGCAGCTGCCGTGCTCCGACCTGCATTGGGGGGAGGGGAGATCAGAGCAGGGTGGGGTCGACTGGTGAGAAACACCGTCGAACCGCCAGTGTCTTTTTGTGTGTGGACCCGCGTTTGGTCTGGTTTGAAGGGAAACCAAGAGGAAACCACTCATTTTGGGGTGGAAGCCCCCGTTTTGAGGGGTCTGAAATGCAAAGGCCTAGTTCAAGCATCCCTAGGTTAAGGTAGGAGGGTGTTAAGTGGAATTCTAGGGGTGTTTGGGGGGTGGGCATGTTCAAAGCGCGAGAATAGGAGCTCAACTGTGTGAAATTGTGCCATTGAATCCCAGGTGTTCGGTGGCAGGCGGAAAAAGGGCGCCCGCTTTTCGGTGGTTCCTCGACCCGATCTTTTTCCTGTAGTCTATTTTAGTAGGGGAACCCTCCGCCAAAAAACGGGAGAGAAGGGCACTATTGGGGGAAACTAGGTTCTAATCCCTACCAAAAAAAAGTCAAAAAAATAGATTTGCACCCACAGGAGGTCGCGAGAACTCACAAAGCCAAATCGAGATCTCGCAATGAAAGAGCCGTCATTGTGGTGGCAAAACCCTCGTTCCGATCGCTTTGGGTTGCCCTCAGAGCTTCACAAGGAGGAAGCAGCTGCAACGAGTTGGCTCGCAACTGGACACCCGGATCTGCATTTGTCCTTCAAACTGCCCGAAAATGTTTAAACTACTGGACGAAATCCTGCTGGCCCCGATTGACTACAAACCTCCAATCCCAACTTTTCGCCAATCGATTTGCGCGGCCTTCTGTCCAGTATGGATCCAACTTTTCCAGAGGCCCGTCTTGCTTTTGAGGCATTGCCCAGGCTCCCCAGAGTCCACCTACGAGCCACACCCTGACTCCGGTGTCCTTAGTGGATACCCAAAATGGCGCAGCGGCTTGTCCGACTTTGGCTTATGCAAAAAAAAGACCAAAACGACCAACTGCAAAAAAAGACACACCCAGTCATATCATAGAAACCAGCTACAGCAAATTATCCAGGAAGCTGGCCAAATTCCTACCAAAATCAGGAGTTTCCTGTAGAATTTCCTGTAGTTGGTTTCTTAGATCATAGCATTCATAATGTTGACCCCGGATTCCATACACCCGTCCTGATTTCTGGAAAGGCCCACAAAAGTGATCCGAATCCCCACCAAAAAGGGACGGCATCACTACCAACTCGAGCCAAACTGTGGATGGACGAAATCCTACCTCATCACTCCCGGGCTTGACGGGTGGCGCGAAATGGGATTTCGCCACCATCCATAGCTCTTTGGAGTCGCCCTCTCGAGGCTCCCTGCAGCTGCAGCTGCGAAGTCGCGCTGCGCTCCCATTGCCTGCGGAACTGAAGCCGCAGAAACGGATCAAAACGCTGAGGGAACAAGCCCAAAGAGCCGGAAACGGAGGGCTTGGTATGAACCCAGGGATACACGGGCATACCCCGAGTTCAGGGAGCCGTCTCAAAAAGGACCTTCTTTGCCTTGAGGTCCCAAAGTCCATGGCACGAAGCCTTCGGGTTCAGCAAGCAAAAGTATCGTTCAGGAGTCCTGGAAAAACAATCTCTGGCACGCCAACACGCGAGCTTCTGATCCTCTCAAACTAGGTCCTTCAGTAGAGAGCTTAATAAGGGTACCCGGGTACCTTTTTTTTCCTGTGGTCTATTTTAGTAGGGGAACCCTCCCCCAAAAAAGGGCAAAAGGGCACCTAGCTGGGGGGGCTTTCGTCCACCTGTAGGTGCAGGGATCTGGCCGATCCCGACGAAGCTACACAAATGCTGGGCAAAACAGCGCATCCTTCAAACACGAGGGTAAATTCTCTCATCAGCAATCCACAAATCTTGAAACCGCCAGATGAAGACACATTGTTGATAAACGCCCACTTGCACCTAGCAGAGTTACTCGGAAGCCGGGAGGAACGCAAGGAAGGAATTTAACATTCTTGGGTGACGCAGTGGATCCCTGTTACCATAGGTAGCCAATACTCCTCGAAACAGGAGCGGGATCCTTGGCAAAGCAAAAGTAAGGTTGACCCCGGATGAATAAACACTTGTTTAATGAAAATCGGGGGGTGCTTGCTCCAAAAGTGGTCTGAATCCCCACTAAACCCAGGGAACCAAGGGCCCCTATTTGTACACTGAGGTCGTCTGGGGATCCTTGGAATCACGTTTAGAGGGCGACGGACCATGTCTGAGCTCAGTTGACAACAAAGACCCCAAGCAGGGTACCCTTAAAAAAGAAGAAGAAAACGGAAACGGGACGCCCTATTCAAGGCACATATTGCTGTGGGTCAAAGCCAATGGTACCATTTTGGGGGTGGTGCACAGCCCATTTTAGTCTATTTTAGTGGTTGGATTGGGATGTTCACTGGCGTACGATTTGGATTTTGACCCATGGCCATATGGCCAACAAACGAACCCACGTGCGCGCCAGCGAGCGACCTCCGGACATCCGGATCGCGCCTCAGCTGAGCGCGCGCCCACTGACTCATCTGATCCATGTGAAAGAGCAAGGCGTCCCAGCTCCTCAGTCGGATGTGGCCTCAACATAGGTGGCCTGTTGGAAAAATAGACTCAGTTGTTCAGTGACCCTGGAAAAAAGGGAACCCTTTTTTCGGAAGACCATTTTAGTGGGGCAGCCACAAAAAAGAAAGGTAAAAAGGGAGCCACTGAACAACTGAGTAGATGGCCCATGCGACAAAAGCGGTGGCTGAACGGAAACGGCTGCAGGTCTTGGACCAGCAATAGATGGCCCTGGTACATGGAACAGAACCCAACTAAACCAGTGCCATCTATTTTTGACCAGGCTCACCTAAAAGGGACACCTATGGGCCTAAATAAACAAGAATGTTGCGGGATATTCTAAAAGCACAGCACTCGTTTAGACGGGTAGACTATTGGCAATTGTGTAGCCCCGGGTAGCCCCATATATATATATATATATATAGACTGGATCCTTGTGCAAAACTTCAAGCTACGTTGGAAACGGCCTCTGCACACGTCCCTTTCTTCCGTGGTGACTGTTGAACACGCATATGAGCCTGGCTCGGCAAACATTGAATCATGAATCGTATATGGGTGGCGCAAGCCACCCATGCCTGACCAGGGATCCTTACATTATACACCTGAACATTGCCTTGTAAATTGTGGTTTCCCTTTATTTTGGGGCAAAATATATCTTTTAAGGAGCCCTGCTGACCTATCGTCATGAACAGTGAAACCGATGAAAGGCCAAAAGGGACTAATGCAACAAACTCGCTTGAGTGAGTCCTGCATTTTGGTGCCACGTCAAGCTTGGGAGCGCGGAAATAGGTGCGCTACGTTCATGTGGGTGTGGCTCAAAAATAAACAGGAGGGGTTACGCAGGTTTTGGTCCATGTTACCACTTGCCAGGGTTCCATTTTGGTACCGGTTTTTGAGCCACAGCCATGTGGGCCCAGGTAAAACAAAAGCACACTTGTGAGTGCACGAAAAATGCATGCAAGCACGTGTGCGTGAACACGTGCGGCTGTGCGCGCATGCGCATAGTTCTGATCATCTTTGCGGGTTAGCCCGAGCACATCACTAAAATTCACCCAATCCCCCAGTAGAGGACCTTACCCAATCCCCACGGATGTCAACTTCAGATTACTCCGGAGGACCCTACTAGTCAGAGGACTTCTCTAAAACAATTATCATTGCTAATCACCCCTGATGAGCAAGGTCCTCCAGATTCTCAGGCTAACGGCTAACGTGTGTCTCACTATAGTTCACGCAATTCCCAGTAGAATCCACTACCCGGGTAATTATGATATCAACCCTCTACTAAGAAAGGGAGGTATGCACCCTGGTTTTGAGAAAGAAACAAAAAACAAGCATTTGGCTGGTTTTCGCCCCAGGCAACCTCCGGCCGTCTTCCTCGCACCGCTCACCGGGCCGCCCTGCGAGGCGTCGCCGGAGGCCGTGGGCGGCGGCAGCTGGCCAGGCGGCCCGGCGGCGGCAGCGCCGCCTCTCCAGCGGGCGTCAGTTCGGTGGTCAGAAGGTGCGGTGCTTTGCTCAAAATGACGGAAAATATGGAACGTCCATAAAAGCCCGGGGTTGGTTCTGTCTTGGGTTCAGGTTTGCTGTAAGGTTTCCTGTTTGGTTAGTCTTCGACTGGTCTGGTGGTTTGGGGCAATGCTCCAAACCACCAAAAGCAGGCGATGAAAGCCAGTCGAACCCTCGCAAACCCGAGAATTAGCAAAACTAGCCCCACACCCAGCGCAAGAAACACGCTAAATCCCACCCCGAGTCAGCCAAATATCCTCCCCGGCCCTGCCTGAACCAAGCCGAAAGGGCAACACAATACCATTCCAAGCCCCGCTCAATGCTCTGACTGAACCTGTAAGCAGCCAGAACCCCCCCCCCCGAAGCACCCCAAACCCGGCGAAGAAAAGCCTTCCAAGTCATCACGCCTAATCCCCAAACAAACCCAGCCTAAACCAACCGAACCCAACCCACCAACCCAACCAACCAACCAACCAACCAACCAACCAACCAACCAACCACCCACCCACCCACCCACCCCACCCAACCAACCAACCCACCAAAACCAAAAAGGTCTGCCGGCTAGGCAAAAAAAAAAAACATCTCCTTCCCCCCCCCTCCCCGAACTCCAACTTGCCAGGGTGGCGGGGATGCAAGGCACCAAACACCAACAGAAAAATCACGCTGAGTCAAGTAAGGGCCCAAGTAAGTTGCACAATGGGCTCAAAGTGTCCTGTGAATCTGGCTCCGGAAAATATACAATCTATAATACCCAGCCAGGAAGCATAGAATACCCAAGTCCTTCGTGTGCCTTCCATTACACTACGTGTTCGCACCCAAGCCATGTGGCGCTAGATTTCCGTCTGTTGACTTCGCCGTCAAATCTTCGCTCGACGCCAAAAGGAAGCTGATCATGAACATCAACCCAGGCGCTCCGATCCCTTGGCCTGCCTTCACACTGCGGGCAGTTGGGGTAGAGACCCACCTGGACTCAAGACTCGGCCTGGCAACTCGACGTCTAAAATCTGCCTGGCATGTGCTTTGCGATGGCCAGTCTCAAGATGGGTGTGGCTGAAAACTAAAGAGCTAGGGTTACGCGGTTTTTGTCCTCGTTTCCACTTACCAGGGCAACCCATTTTGGGTACCCATTTTTGACCCACAACCAGATGTTTCAAGCCGTTTTGGAATGATCGTCGGCTACTTTGCATCTGGATGGAAAGTGCGTGCGTGCAAAGCATGCAACAGGCTCCACTGAGTCACTGGAGACGGAAGCTAGGGTCCGGACGGTCTTGCCTGGGCGTCGGGCTTGCCGGGATTCCGTCCATGTCCAGATGGGCTCGCCCACAAGGTATCCCAAGGAAAAGGCTGGGACAGAGCACAAAGTATCCTATGATGGAACTCACCAAAACGGTCCCTTTAGAGAAGGGAAGAGCAAGAAGTACCCTCCTGGAGTCTCCATGACCCTTTAAAATGTGTAATGACCCCATTTTTAAAGGGTCATGGAGACTCTAGGCTCCCACCATGGACCTTTGGGTCCGGTTTAGCTTCCAGAAAACCCCGGTCCCTCGCGCTCCATGGCAAAGTAGGAAGAAGGTCAGACCGTTCACCTTGCGCTGTCGAAGACCGGCCGTCCACAACATGATCAGTTCACAAATGCCAAGTTCCCAAAAACGAAGCATGAACATCTTGGGGTGTCCTTTCTTTCTGGGAACCCCCCCTCCCCAAATGGAGGTCACTCTTTCCCCTTGGTTGTCCTAAAAACCAGCCTCCCAAAAACGGGGTACCGGTACCAACTCAAAACAAGAGACGCCCACAGACGTTGCATGGGAACCCTGACAGCTCCTATTGAGACCCCTGGCACATCTCGAAGCAAACGCCTTTGAGCTCGCTCTGAAGCTGCGTTCCTCGGATTCGATTCGGATTCGCGGATTCGATTTTGGATTTAGATGTTTTCCATATTTTTCCGGATTTTGTTCATTCGATTCGAATTTGGATTTTGTTTCCGGATTTCTTTGGGATTGTTTCCTTCGATTCGGATTTGTTGAATTTGGGGATGAGTTCGGATTCGGCGGACATTGGGCCGGGTCGCCTGGGTTTTTGGTCTTTGGTCGTTTTCTCATACCCGAGATGTGGTTTACTTCAACTCCAACAGGGCAACATGAACTTGGTCCTGGAAGGCCACGGCTTTCGATCTGGACAGCTTCGAGTTGAGCCGAGCTCAAGCTCAACCGAATCATGTCAACTTCTATCCTGAAGTCAGACAGCCAAGTAAGGTAAATTAACGCCAGAGGAGCTACAAGGGTGGTCGCTCCCCCCAAACCTCCAACTCGTTCAAGCTGAGTTTCCCTGCCACACATGATATCATTTTAAAAAAATATGGAATCGGACCCTAAAGAATGGTTGGCGTCCTTTTGGTGTCCCATTAAACCACTCCAAAAGCTGTGCCAAAGACGCGCCACATCAAGTTGGAGCTCTCTGAAACTGGCAGACTGCCCCGATGGCATCGGGGCGACTTGGCGTCGCCGTCACATTTGTCGATGGTGAAAACTCTTTGAGAAGCTTCGTGCTAGCTCTCAGAAATCAACTCAGCCTCATAAGTTGTGTTGCGATTCTTGCAAAATGCCTCAGAAATCAACTCAGCCTCACAAATTGTTTTGCGGTTTACCTGCAAACTTTGCGTCCGTAGCTTTCTCCTACGCACTGCAAAACACAGCTGGCTCCTCCATTAGAGGGTTAGAATAAGGGTACCAGCTTTTTTCTGTACTCTATTTTAGTAGGGGAACCCTCCCCCAAAAAAGGATAAAGGGGCACTACTGGGGGACCTAGACAGGCAGTGAAAAGCAGCAGCTAACTAAGCTGTCTCCCATCCCCCGGGGTCTGCAATAAGCCCTCATGAAACATATGGGTCCCGACCCGGGGTCAGCACGCGCTGGCACGCGCAAGCTGGCGCTTCGCGCCGGCATATCATCACAAAAAAAGAAGACCCCAGGGTCGCACTTGACCCAGAAAACGGCGTTAAGTTCATGTATGGGGATGGTGTTCGTTGTTTTAGGGGAACCCCCCTCTCCATGTGAAGGCCTCTACCCGTCAAAACGTCGGCTGTGCGTTCCCTTGGTACTCTAAGAAGTACGCGAGCCTCGCTGACTTGGTATATTTCCCAAAGCATCATTTCCCCCCCCCCCACGGCCTAAAAAACAAAAATGGTGGTGCGCGTCTTGGTTGCAAAGAAATGACAGGCCCATGTACTGCGCATGGCTTACGCGCAAACTCACTTGCGCCGGCCAATTCCTGAACCACGAAACGGGCGGTTGGCCACCCTTTTAGCTCCCCGCTTTGCTTCCTTTTGAGTTTTTAGCCCCCCATGGCAAAAATGAGAAAATACATCCAGTAGTAATAGGTTCCATAAAACACGATTAAGCAAGTGGGCGTTTATCAACTCTGTGTCTTCATCTGGCGGTTTCAAGATTTGTGAATTGCTGATGAGAGAATTTACCCTCGTGTTTGAAGGATGCGCTGCTTTGCCCAGCATTTGTGTAGCAGTCGATTCCTCGGAAGCAAATACCGTAGGTGTCCCAGCTGCGCCATGGCCACACAGTGTTCAAGGATTTTGAACCTTTACAACATGTTGCAATTATGTGTTTTGTGTTCCCGAAAGGTTCTTCCGTGCGGAGCCCTTGGACAAGTTACACAGACTGAGCCAAGTTGCACAGAGCCAAGTTACATAGAGCCAAGTTACATAGAGCCAAGTTACATAGAGCCAAGTTACACAGAGCCAAGTTACATAGAGCCAAGTTACATAGAGCCAAGTTACATAGAGCCAAGTTACATAGAGGCAAGTTACATAGAGCCAAGTTACATAGAGCCAAGTTACATAGAGCCAAGTTACATAGAGCCAAGATACATAGAGCCAAGTTACATAGAGCCAAGTTACATAGAGCCAAGTTACATAGAGCCAAGTTACATAGAGCCAAGTTACATAGAGCCAAGTTACATAGAGCCAAGTTACATAGAGCCAAGTTACATAGAGCCAAGTTACATAGAGCCAAGTTACACAGAGCCAAGTTACATAGAGCCAAGTTACATAGAGCCAAGTTACATAGAGCCAAGTTACATAGAGCCAGTTACATAGAGCCAAGTTACATAGAGCCAAGCGCGCCTGCTTTCGCAATCCCGCGGTCGCGGGTTCGATTCCCCCCTGGTCCGCGGCAGCTCCGGCTGGAAAATCGCAGCTTTTAAGTACAAACGTAGTACGCGGAGCGTGCTCCGGCAGCTCCGGCTGGAAAATCGCAACTTTTAAGTACAGAAGTAGTATGCGGAGCGTGCTCCCGCAGCTCCGGCTGGAAAATCGCAACTTTTAAGTACAAACGTAGTACGCGGAGCACGCTCCCGCAGCTCCGGCTGGAACATCGCAACTTTTAAGTACAAAAATAGTACGCGAAGTACATTCCCACAGCTCCGGCAGCACTTGCGCAGAGCAACTTGCGCAGAGCCACTTGCGCAGAGCAACTTGCGCAGAGCAACTTGCGCAGAGCACTTGCACAAAGCTCTTGCGCAGAGCAACTTGCACAGACCAACTTGCACCGAGCACATGCGCAAAGCGCTTGCGCGGAGCAACTGGCGCAGAGCACTTGCGCAGAGCAACTTGCTCAGAGCACTTGCGCAGAGCAACTTGCACAGAGCACTTGCGTGCAGCAGCTTGCAGAGCGCAACTTGCGCCCAGCAGCCTGGAACAATGCAGCTTGCGCAGACCACTTTCGTGAGAAATCGCGCGGCGCAGTTCGTGCAAAGCACATTGCGCCGAGCAGACTCGTGCAGAGCCAACTTGCACAGAGCCAGTTGCGCAGAGCCACTCGCAAAAAGTAGCTTGCGCAGAGCCAACTTTCACAGAGCCAAGCTGCGCAGAGCCATCTTGCACAGAGCTAAGTTGCGCGAGCGTGCTTTGCAGAAACTGTGGCCGTCGTGTAAGCTTTGCTGTTGATTGCTTTTCCTTTTGCTTGTAATTCGTTTCGAGCTTTACGAGCTTCACTTCACTCTTCTTGTTTTGACGGATGTAAATATATGATTGAGCACTGCCATGTTTCCTCTCGTAGGACGATGAGATGGAGCTCTCATGTGATCATACACATTGAGCATCGCCGCGTGCAGACACGCTCGCCGCAGCGATGTAAAAAGGTGTCTCCGCGGCTGGATGAGCACCTGGGGAAAAATGCGTTCGGGCCAATCGTCCTCTAGTTTTTTTCCAACAGCTGAAAGCTGAGTCTTTGCCCAGATAGGCTCGCGCGGGGTAGTCTGTTCCAGGGCTCTTGGAACCGGATACCACCGGTTCAAGGTGGCTGGCAGATGGGGGGGTTTTAAAGGTGTTTTTTGGGGGGGTCCCAGTCTTCCCTGTGGCTTCCCTTTGAAGAACCACAAGGGGTATCCGAAAAGAACGACACACACACACACACACACACACACACACACACACACACACACACACACACACACGCGCACACACACATGCATCTTTTTCAGGAGAAAACCAGGAACAAAGAAAGACAGCGTTCCGGTGATTGGCTTCTCTTGTTGAAAGACCTATCCGCAAGAAACGACCCACGCCAGGACCACTTGCCAGGCAGTAGCCAAGACCCATGACTTTTGGGGCCACGGGCATGGCTTTGTTCATGGATCCCCGGCTAAAAGCTAACTTTTGGTGGTTTTTCATACGGAAAACCCAAACTCGTTGGCCAAAAGGCTGCTAAAGTCCTAACATCCCTTGGCAAAATGCACCAAAGAATCCCTGGTGATTCTCAAGACCCTATATTTTTCGGGGTCCGATCCCAGCAACCCCAGGTAGGACATGGGAGGTTCTCAAAACAAGCCCCCTCTTTCCTGCTATGTACATGGCTGTGGCTCAAAAAACCGATACCAAAATGGAAGTCTGGTAAGTGGAAACATGGACCAAAACCTGCGTAACCTGGTTAATTTTGAGCCACACCCACATGGGCTCTCACTTCCTGAGACTGCCCAAAGTCTAAACTTTTGGGCCGCTAAAATCATCGGTTGACGTTGGGTTTGGGGAGCAAACAAAATTGAATCTTAGCACTTCAGTGGTTGGATTTCAACCACGAAAACCACAACAAGCAAAAATGTAGAATGTGTCCCAACAACAACCATGTTGAATGGTCCAGGGGCTCTCACTTCCTGAGACTGCCCAAAGTCTAAACGTTTTGTTTGACGCTAAAATGGTCAAATGACCCACTCGCCGCTGTCCAATGACCCCAAACGGCCGGCCGTGAGGACCGGCTTCCCCAACGCCGCGTTTGCAGCCCGAAGCTGTGGCTCCCCGGCGGTGCCAGAGATCTTGCTGGAGGCAAGCTTCTGCCACCAAGTCTACGTTGTGACGGACCTCGGCAAAGATGCCAGGTGGATGCCCCTAGCATGTTGCGAGTTTTTTTGGGGGGGGATGTTCCCTCCAAAAGTGATATAAATCCCCACTACAACCAGGGACGCCCCGATATGAATAAAAAAAGGAAGTATTTTTCCGGGGTCAACACTCAGCCAATCATCAACAATCCCCATGGACAATTTTGGGAAATTGGAGGGTTTGCGAGGAAACCAACCATCAACAACCATGAGATGGTTCAATAAATTGGAGGGGCTCCTTTGTTTTGCCAAAATTGAAGCATCCGTAAACCAAGCACTGGCAAGAAGTCCATAGACTTCGAACACGAGAAACCGGAGGCTCAAACCCGAAGCAAAGACGTAACGAGCCGTCGACATTGAAAAATGCCGGGGGCTTGCTGAAATCTCACCCGTGTGCCCTTTTGGTCAAGGCTAGACACCAAAATGGAATCTGGGCTGTCCTCAGATCTCTGCTAAAAGTTTGGCTTTTAGTGGGTTAATTGGAAATGCCCACTAAACACTAAAAGGCTAAAAGGCTAAGGGGATGGCTGGGAGCCACCAAGGAATGGTAAATGGAAAGCACTCAAACCGGTCGGTGTCACTTGGACCTATACCCATGCTGCCTGTTAATGCCCCAAGGGTTGGCAAACGGTTCTCATGGTCGTTTCACGGGCTGATACCAATGGGTGCTTTGACCATGGGAAGTTGGAACACCGACAACATCACGAGAAACCGATCAGTTTCAAAATCGGAAACACGCAAAGCAAACAAACCAAACAAAGCAATCGAACCAAGCAAGACAAACAAATTCAACAGAACAAGCAACAAGCAAAAACAAACAAAACAAAAAAGACAAGCAGAGCAAAGGAAATAGGCAGAAAACAAAAACGGGAAAACAACAACTAGAGCTTTAGTCCACCCAACCGAAACTGTGCTGTCGGCAATGCGGCGCTCCGCTTGCGCGAGCACAGCGACGCCATCTCCTCGAAAGTCGAAGCGAAGCGCCAAATCCGCGGCCGCGTGTTTGATCTCAAAACTGGTTGCGCTCGGGGAGGCCGAGGAAGAATCAACGCGGTAATTTACCTGGAGTCTCTTTCCGACCCTTAAAAAAGGAATGAGCCCATGGTTTCAGGGTCAGAAGGAGACTCCAGGTACCCTCTTTTCAATGGATGTAGAGAAGCTCCCCCGCATCTGCAATCTGGAACCTCAGGAGCTCCGGATGAATCAACTCGTCCTGTTTGGGGGGGAACACCTCCAAAAGTGGTCTGACTCCAGCCACTCAGCGGGGACTCCTTTTTTAACCATCAAAACTCACCACCGGCCTTGGATTGAAGAAGTCCACTTTGAACTCGCTTGTTTTGAGCGCTGTATGGCACAGCGCTGGGTAAAACCACACTTCAGACTTGAGAGAGGCCAAAGTCTGGAGATCCAACCGACGCTGCCATCAGCCTCGAGTCACCAAAGGCCCCAGAGGGTGATTTGGAGTCGTGGCTTTCGGGGTTGTTTTCCATTAACCCTCCACAAAAGCCAGGGCTTCAAACCCAAATCCAGTGCCCACCAATCCAAATCACCACGACCTTCAGGGTTGCCTGAACGAGGACGTTCCAATTGTGCACAGTTTGTATAGCTTGCCACACATCAGCTGCTTTGCCTCCGAGGCAGCTGGTCAGTCATCTGGTTGCTGGCATGTGTTTAGACTGGCAGAGGACAGAAAGCTTTTCGCAGCTGTCCGCATTTCTGCGAAAAGTGTCCGCATCCAAGTTTCTAAGTCCGTACGCAAAGTGTCTGAATCCGTGCTCCTAGTTCCCGAAACCGCGCTCCAAAGTGTCCGCGTCCGTGTGAGTACTTTCCGAATCCCAGTCTCCCAATCCGTGCTGAAAGATGACGAGTCCGGGTTTCAAGTTTCCGAAGCAGTGCGTGACCTGTACGGTCAACCTGAGAATCAGTTGCAGAAAACCCAACCAACCCAAGGACTCCGACTTCCCCTCAATAAGGAAAAGTAAAAGACGGCCGGGAAGAGAATTGTCATGGATTTATGGTAATTCACTTGCCAGTGTGTTCAGGGAGTGGTTGTCTTTGTGTCTCTTTCTCTTTTCTTACTCTTTCCCTGTCTCTTTCTCCTTCTTATTTTCTTCTCTTTTTATCTCTCTCTCTCTCTCTCTCCCCTTTTCTCTTCTCTTTCTGTTTTTGTTTTCCCTCTTCTTTTTCTCTTTCTCCACAGTGCGGGGAAGTGTTGCGGGTTCAGTCGCTCAGTTGTTGGCAACTTGCGTGTTAGAGGCTAGAACATGCGCAGTTCTTCGCGTTTGCAAGTTTCGAATGCGTATGGTTGGTCGGAAGGTGTGTCTTTCTCATGGCCGCATTTGAGAAACTGGTGGGCAGCCGCCCTCCAACGTCATCGGAGATCCCCTCGGCTTTTGGCACGGTGAAGCAAACCTTCAATATGTTCACACAGATTGTGCAAAGCTGGAACCTTCACTCCCAGCAAATAATCTTCAAATTTGATGACATTCGACATACAGTGGCTCTTATCATTTGGGAAGCAGATATGCAGTGCTGCGCGGCTGAGCGAGTGCTTTTGAGCGGGCAACCCTCGTTACAAGAGCAAGTTTCTAATGCTGGCACCCAAGTGACTCCAATCAGGGCATCCTCAGTTTCCGGTTTAGGCCTACCAAGTTTCCAACTCAGGGAAACCAAGTTTCTGAATCGGCGCCCCAAGTTTCTGAATCGAAGCTTCCGAATAGGGCCTCAAGTTTCTGAAGCGAAGAATCTGAATTAGGGCAAGTTTCTGAAGTCAAGCTCTGAATCGCAAGCAAGCTTCTGAATCGGTCCATGTACGGACCGTACTAATCAAGGGCAGCTACTCTCTTGCGAATGATCTTTGTCAATGGTGGTTCGTCTGACTCGGGAACGCTCCCCACATTGCCCCATTTTGGGACACCAAACCTCCATTTGCTCAAGTCCCCTGGAAAGAATCAAAAGGCCATTAGTCATAGAGTCCCTCCAAAACTAACAGGGCGAACCAAGCAAATATTCGCTTTAGTACCACTCGGTTGCTTTCTGCTCCCCTGCTAAAAGTTTAACTTTTAGTGGTTTAGTGGAAAACCCATTAGTTGGCAAAAAGTTAAAGTCCTAACAGCCAAGCAAAATGCACCAAAGAAAAAGTAGACGAAAACCTAGGGCTTGATTTGCAAAGAAAAGCTGTTGGGTTTAGCTCCAGAGACAGTCGAGGTGAAGGCGTTACCTAGGTCCTCCAGAATAAGGGTTCCTGTAGTCTATTTTAGTAGGGGAACCCTCCCCAAAAAAAGAAACGGTAAAAGGGCACTACGAAAGAAACCTAGCTACTGTTCTTAAGCACATGGAAGACAAGGCCCTTCCCAGCGAGAACGAATCTTCGGTCCTTCGGAGGTCTGTGTGCGGCTCACCAGCGCCCCCCTTGGGTTGAGAGACACAGAGCGGGGCGCTCTCGGATGGGCAATGAGGTGCTTCTAAGGGTTGTTTCCCCATTCTTTTCAACCATCGTCTTTTCAAAAACCGGCCGTTTCGCTGGGTTTCCGGAGGTTTTCTAGAAAGCAGGATCCCTGGAAAGAATGGGGAAGGTAGCAGTAGAGTGCTAAGAAAATGGCTCAGAGCCCAAAAGTATCAAATGGTTCCCACCAAAAATGGCCCCCCAAAAAAAGATGGAACAAATCATCCGGACAAATGTTGTCATCCAGCCATCGAACCGCCCAGTTCCTTCGTCTGTGGCCACTGGACGCATACCATTTCGTACCACTTTGAAACCATGGTTGAAACCATAAGGTTGCTATTTACAAGGTTTCTTAGGTGGCCAAACCAACTGGTCACCTACAAACAATCCATATGTAGCAAACAATATAAATATATGAAGAGCGTTACCCTGGTACACGGACAGGGCTATTTCCTGCAGCCCATGGTGACTCACCTTTCCACCATGGGGTCACCGGATCTTCCAACGTTGATCTGGTGGTGTCCATTTGGCTGCTCAAGAAAATGTACCAAAGTGGCACCCTTGGCAAATGGAACTAAAGACTAAAAGCTGCGGTTTGCCCTAGCTCTTAATTTTGAGCCACACCCATTTAACGTAAACAGGTTGAGTCGTCTCAAACTTGATCAACCAGCTTGGGAACATGAAGCCTGGGCCCGGCTCCAACCGAGTGCAAGAGAAAGTCGCTCGCTGGCCGGCCAGCGAGCGTCTCCATTTTTTGTTTGGAGAGGCTACCCCTTTGTGGGCTCGGCTGATAGAGGAACATTCATGCGAAACCACAATTTGATTTATTTGCTTGTTTGCTTGATTGTTGTTGTTTTTTTTGGGGGGGGGTTGCCCCATTTTGAGACAACCCCATACCCACAGAAGTGCACGTATCCTGGTTCGCGTGCGGTTCCCGGCTTTCCCCCTTTCGGGTTGCCCCACACGGGCGCCAGCAGCGCAAAAAGCCAAGGCCGCATCTGGAGCAAAGAAGCGGCGATCAAACTCGACCCCCAAAAAGAAACAACACAAAAGGGGGAGAAAAAAAACAAACGGGGGAAAACAAAACGGAGAAAAAAAGGGGGAAACAACACCTGGCTCTCTGTCCTGAAAGGGTTGAAATCTGAAATCTCAGATGCCTCCCAAGAACCCACGAAATAGCAGGTAACCTCACCTATTGGGGGGGGTCACGAAACATGGTTGCCAGAAAACTGAAAACTAACAGGTCGCTGGTAGGTCGCTTCGTTTGCCAGCAATTTTTGAGACTTCAGGAGCTGGACGCAAGGACAGCCTCTTGGGTGGGTCAGTGGCCTGAAAATACTCGGAAACCCTGGGATGGAAACCATGCCAACCATCGGTGTGTTGGCATTTACAGGGAAATCATATCATTCCAGGGCATGGAAATCATCGGTTTGTTGGCGTTTGCAGGGAATCATAGCACTCCGTTGGGCTTCTGAACGGTGCAGAATTCCGTCCTTCCGTTGCGTTGTCTTAGGTGCGATTTCTGGCTTTCGCAAAACCCTCCCAGATAATTTTTGGGGCCCACATGTCGTGAGGGGCCTGGGGCTCAAAATCCCCCAACGGCCAATTCAGGGTCACCCCTCGGTGAACGTTGGGGAGCAAAAAAATAAAGTTTAGCAGTTAAGTGGGGATTTCCCACCAACAAGCAAAATGTAAAATGTTTCCACCATGACCCGATTGGTGGCTGTTTTGGAAGGGAACAAAACCACGCAACCGCGCACGCACCATGCCCAGCCGCATGTTTCAGCCTGCCTATATGACACGCGTTTCCTCTTGACTGCCAAATATCACGCTAGCTTCGTCCCAAGCGTTCGTGTTGCAGAACCCCCTCATACGCTACGAGCAGGAAACGTGTCATCTCTTGGGCTAAACCAAGCTACGTGTGATCCGCGGGTCCATGGCCTCTCCCCTGCCAAGCTTCATCTAGGTTTCTGCGTCAGAGCCATGGGTAAAAGAGCATCTTGTTGGGTCGATTTCCTTCTCCGATCTGGCAAAGTAGATTCGATTCCAGATCATGGAAGTGGACGTTGGGGGTCTTTGCAAGAGGACCGGGGTCACTGGATTCCCCCTCAAAAGTTGCAAGTTACTGGTGGTTTCCTTTCAAACTTCTACTTTTGGGAGGTTGCAAAAAGGGAAATGGAGGAAACCCTGTCCAACACCCCTCCGATCGTCCACTTCCGCGATTCAAAGGGGCGCTTCTGCCCATATTGCCAGGAACCAAAAGAACAGTACGGTGCCCTAATTATTTTCAGCCAAGGAAGAATCAAAAACAAATCCCGGGTATGGGTCCTTTTTTTAGTCACCACCAAGGATATGGACCGCAGGTTGTCCTTGCCAACCCATTTTGGGTGCCAGAGCCTAGACCCTGTTAAGCAATGGTATGTTGACCCAAACTTCTAGGGGTGAATTCCATTTTTGCCGAGGTTTGGGTCTAGGGAACTACTTTTGACAACCACACCCATCTGCTTGGTTTAGTTGTCAGCAACTTCGTGCTCCGGAAAAACATGGAAAAAATGCCCGGCCTGCGAAGCCCCCGGCGCGCGCTTGAGCCAAGCCACCCGCTTGAGCCGCACTCGCGGCTCGCTTTCTTCGGCTACGGCCTGTGAAAGTCTTTGGAGCACAGGCGGAAAAATTGGAAAAATAGCCGGCCCTGGTAAATGGAATAAACCCCATCTAAACCAGGGCCCTCTATTTTTTAAGCAAACCAACCAAAAAGGACACCTATGCTTTGGAGGGTATCAATTTTTCGGGGGTTCAAGGGAAACCTAGGGAGAAACCAAGATGTTTGGGGTTCACGGGAAATCGACAGTTTGACGCATGGGCTGAGTCCGCTTTGATGCTCTTCTCAAACATCCTTCTGTTCAAAACCAAAGGTATTGAGATGTTCGTTTGGAAAGGATCCCTGGTGTCTTCTGATCGCAACTCTTCTCTTCCAAAACGGGTGTGCCTTTTCTGGAGTTGGTGGGTTCTGGAGGGACTCGAAAACACAACCAGCCCCATTTTGGGGGGGTCCACCTATAACAGGACACACCCAAAGGAATCGAACCCCCCTAGCTGGCTTTGATTTATCCCCCCTTAAGGCCAAAGATCCGCGTCACATCCGCCGTGGTCCTTGCTGGACGAGAGACCTGTGTTCGCCCGGACACAAATGGGGCGCTTTGCTTTGGGGCGGATGTGCGCGATTTGGTCTGGATGCACCTGTGCAGACTGACAGGGTGTTCTTCTCTCCTTGGCAACCAACTTCAAGGCCGAACAAACCTTCCGTGTTTCTTGGATAGGTCAGATTCCAGCGGAGTTGTGTCCAATGAGTCACACATGTAACTTTGCATGTGCAACGCCGATCAGTGGATGTTAGGATGCGCAGGCCTCTACTTCCCCACCTCAAAAACAGCCAAAGGGAAAGCAGGGAAACCTCGGAGCCTCGGTAGTTGCTGGCAGTGAAACCCTCCCAAAAGTCCAGGGGTTGATTCCATTTCCATTCTTTTCAGCCATCAGTTCTTTTAAAAAACCGATCGCCAGTTCCCCGGGGTGTTTGGTGGTGTTCTAGAAAAAAGGATCCGGATCCCTGGATTCAGAATGGAAATGGAAGCTACCCCTAGGAGATCTGTGGCATCAAAGGCACTCTCAGCTGAGGATCCCATCGACTCGTTCGCCCCTTTTCTGTTTTTTTTTTTTTTGGGAGAAGGACCTCGATCGGACGAAGGCAACGTGCGCATGCGAGGCTAGCCCTCAGCAAACGCCGGTATTCCAGGCGGCTACGGACAACATGTGCTATTGCAGGCGATCAAAGCTGCTTATGATCGAGAACATCGCCCACCAACTACCAAAACGTGGTCACCCATATTTTGGTTGCTGTCAAGGGAAACCAAAAGGAAAACCACACGTTTGGAGGGCCCAAATCCAAAAAAGAGACATACCATAGCGGCAGGGTTCCCAAGCAAAGTGCAACACGAATCTTCCCCTTTCAGGGGCGTTCACCGACTGCTCTTCTCGTCTCTCATCGGCATGGCCTTCAGCGCGAGAATGGAGGGCATAGATTCGGCTGGCCCATTGTGGATGGACGAAATCCACCACCACCTAAAATACCATGGTTGAAACCATAACGTTGATGGGTAGTTGCAGGGGAATCGAATCATTCCAAGGTTTCTGAAAGGTGATGCGACATGGATTTCACAACCATCCACAGTATGTACAGCCATGGATTCGTATGGCCGTGCTTGAACAAAGGAACCGCCCCAAAGTAAGCAAGAAAGCGGCTTGTTGAATTGAACTCTGGAACTATGTCCTTCGTTCAGGAGTGATGCGCTCAAGCCTGGCAAGAGTCAAACAATCACCGGCCGCGTCGACCGAATTCCTTTGGCGAAAGCATCCTCGGGTCGGCCGCTGGACCGCTGGCAATTCCCTGGCGAGGCGGCGATTTGCGCCCCAAAACGTAACTCAGGCGCGGAGTGCTTTGAACATGGGCACATGACCACTTTATTTTGGGTGATGACCCTTCTTTTAAGGGTCATGGAGACTGTAGGTACATTCAGAAGATCGTTGCTTGGAGGTGAACACTTCGCTGATTGTTTGCTGACACGCAGACAGAATTGGTCAAGAGTTGTTGACGTAGCGACCACTTTTAACGAGGCGACGCAAGGTCAAGCCATGGGCGAACACCTGGGCAAAGCACCCTATAGTTGGCGCACTGCGAACTCCGTCAGGTTGGATACCAAGGCGCGACCATGAGGGGGGGCAAAGCCGCATGAGTTGAAATGGGCTCCAAAGAGTTGGGGGTGTGAGGTGGCACCTTGAGTGGTAGACTCACCCGGAACTTTGGGATTCTGGAGAAGCACGACTACGCTTCCTCTGTCAAGAATCTTGCCATGAGCACTTGAGTCAGGATGCCGAAATGGATTTCGACCATGCACAGTAATTATGTGGGTGACCATTGAGCAACACTCAACTGTGCAGTCGGCCCGCGTTACCTTTGCTACACGCCATTCACTCACCGAGAGCTGACATTGAACAGCCTTTCGAACATCCCGTGCCCAGCTGCATAGGGTACTCACCCCCACATGTGTAAACGGAAGCCAACAGGAAACCCTCCCCCCTTCTTTTCAGGGGGGGTGTCCGTGCCATGGCCACTGAGAGTCTATGTTGCAGCCCAGGACCCTAAACCACCACCCTAAATGAAGCTTGCAAAATAGACTCCTTCAGCGCCCACCATACAGGGGGACTTCAGTCCCTTTAAAAGAGAAAACCCACCCATTGTTTGTTTTTAACGTTGTTGTTGTTGTTTGTTTGTTTTTTTTAGAAGAAGTCCCCTCAGAAGAGAAACCACACCCTTAAAAAAAAAAAAGTCCCCTCAAAAGAGAAAACACACCCATTTTTGTTAAAAACAAAAAAAGTCCCCTGAAAAGAGAAACACACCCAATTAAAAAACAAGTCCCCTCAAAAGAGAAAACACACCCATTTTTGTTAAAAACAAAAAAAGTCCCCTGAAAAGAGAAAACACACCCATGTAAAAAAAAAGTCCCCTGAAAAGAGAAAACACGCCCAATTAAAATACAAGTCCCCTCAAAAGAGAAAACACACCCATGTACAAAAGAAAGAAGAAGTCCCCTCAAAAGAGAAAACACACCCTTAAAAAAAAGAAGAGGAAAAAAGTCCCCTCAAAAGAGAAAACATACCCAATTAAAAAAAGGGCCCTCAAAAGAGAAAACACACCCATTAAAAAAAAAAAAAAAAAAAAAAAAAAAAACGAAAAAAGAAACACACCCATACAATCGACTAAAGAAAAAACAAGGAAGAAGGGCACCGAAAAATATCCACGAGCGGCGGCCTTCGCGCCACTGTTTTCTCCCGCACCCTCGCGCAGGAGAACATTGAAGATCGGAGGCGCGGAGCGAATCGCGTCGACCGCCGGTTTTGAGGATGACGGGTCTCCCGAAAATGGCGCAGAGATGGGGGGGTCCTTTTGATTTGTTCACTAGCAGGGGTACCCTAAAAACATAACAACATGTTTCAGGGTTCCGAGCTCAGTGATCAAACAAAGATGTTGGCTCTTGATTTACCAACTCCCAAAGGTGCCGAGCCTCACAAACGGACAGGCCCATGTTCCCGATCGGAAAAAGGATGGACAGCAGGGGCCAGTGGATCCAGTTGCCATACTACACAATTAAAAAAAAGGCATATGTTTCGATTCCCCTGTACCAACTAAGAATGGATTATTCAACCATGGTCCTTCCATAAGGGAATGACTCTTGGATTTCAAGCATTGACAACCTGCTTTTATGGCAACTGGAAGAGCTGGGCGAAGCAAACAATCAAAATATCTGACACTGGCGCCGTTGCGGCGTAGTTCAGCGGAGGATGGACCTAGTGGCAACTGGGAAGAAGTCGTCTGTGGACCTGTGAAAAGGTGCATAATATACATGTATATACATATATAAATATATATGCATATGTACATGTATCTATATATGTTTGTAGGTCTGTACGTGTATATATATATATACATATATTGTGTATATTGATATAATGCATACGTATCTGTGACACAGCTCCGATCAGCAGCTGAAAACTGTCAGACAAGTTAGGTGCCGAAACCGGTACTTTGTGCTGCAAACAGCGCCAAGAACATGCTTGGCATGCGAAGCACCGGTTCACCGGACGGCTTTCTCAATCTGCAAGACATGAAGGGAGGCGGCATCCGCTCAGTTGCCCAAAGGACCCAGGAATAAAAAGGGTTCACCTTTTGGGGGCCATGACTAAAAATGGGCCAAAAAGGGAAAACCCAATAGGTCAAAAGGCCGATTCGCTTTGGGCAAGTGAGTTAAAGCATGCAGTCGGCCCCCGAACGCTAACTGGATCAGGCTGAGCTTGTCAACGGCTTAAACCGCCTCAGCCTCATCCTTCCTATCTACGTCACCCGGTGGCACCTTCCTATCTACCTCAATCTTCGGTGGCATCTCTCCCAGCTGCTGGGACCTCAAGTAATAAGAGTACCTCAGCGCTTCCAAGCCGAAAGCAAGAAGCCCATGGTGCTAGTCACACGGCCATGGGTCAAAAGCCAAATCGTACACCCAGTAAACATCCCAATCCCCACTAAAACAGGCCCTAAAGCGGGTGGTGCACCTACCCCAAAATGGTACCATTGGTTTTGACCCATAGCCACATGGCATGACGCTGAGTGACTGCTTCTGGTGGAAACCCAACAAGCAAGCTGTGAGCGTCTAGCCCGGAAATCAATCCCCCCTTCTTTGGATGGGCGAAATCCTGCTGCACCACTTAAGAAACCCTGGAATGATTCGATTCCACGGTAAATACCCACAAACAGCAGTTACCATGGCTTCAAAGTGGTGCGAAATGGAGTTCGTCCACAGTATCTTCAGCAAGCAAATTCATGTGGGCCGGTCAGTCACGCGTCCAGCCCCGCGGGACTGGAATATAATGGGACCCCAAATGGACATCTTTTTCTTTGGACCCCAAAAACATGTTGGTGGTGTTCCTTCTGTCAGAAAATGAGACATGCCCATGTATGCCTGCTAATCTTTGAGAGAATGCAAAACCATGCAAAGTCATGAGATCAACATGGAACCCAAAAATCAAAGCCATCCATAAGACCCGGGACGGAGCCCTTCTTTTGGCAAGCTTGCCACGTGAAAAATGGAAATGGGCGTCTCTTTTTGGAGTTGTGGCGTTAAAGGGAAACTAAAAGAAAGCCCGCGACTTTGGGGGGGGACACACCATGCGGCATGTCCACCTGGAGAATGCTACGGTTCAATATTTCGCCGCTTGAGCAACCCAAACCCAAGGTTTGTTGCGAGATTTCCGATTCGCACCACCTAAGAACCCACGGTGGACACCAGAACGTTTTGGTGCTACATGCATGGACCCCCCCACCTAAACCAACCCAAAGCCGAAGAAACAAAAATAAGAAAAAAAAGAAACAACCCAAGAAAGCCGGAGGATTCGCCGGTCCCGAATTCCACCCGGGGAACCTGTCCAACCGCCACCAAAGACCATCCGACGGAGGTCTCTCCCAGTCGTCGCCTCGGGTCTGAGGCGTCCCGGCCGGATGCTCAGCAGCGCCAGCCAGAAGATCGTGAGGCTCAGGGCGGCAAGGCCAAGCGGCTTGGCCTCGCTGTCTGGAGGTGTTCTTTCTTTTCTTTTAATAGCTGAAAGCTTTGGGGTCGCACCGCATGCTGTTGGGGATGTCACCTGAGCTTTTTTCCCTTTCCGGGGGCGCCGGCGTTGGTGAACCTGCTCTATCTTTTTTCTTGCTTTGTCTTGTTCTTTTTTCGGGGGGGCTGGGGGTCGGACGGGGACAATTTGTTGGGGCTCCCGGAAAAAAACGCAGTGCTTGGTCGGCCTCGCTTTGGATTGAATGTTTTTTGTTTTTCTTTTCAGGGGCGCCGGGGTCAGCACGGATATGCTCAACCGAAAAAGCGACAATTAATTGACCAAGGGTTCTGCTGCCCTTCAATTGTTGGTTGGTGGTCGGGTGGTTGAGGGCATTCATCATTTGCCATCTACAAGAACCAAGGTTCAAATCCAAATCCAAACCGCCAATCCAAACCACCAATTCAGGGTAGCCTGAGTCTCGTGGAGAACAAAAGGAAGAGCCACATGCCTGGTCGAAAAAGGTGTTCTTCAGAAATCCCCCCAAAACAAAAAGAGTGAATAGAAAGGCAGAAGGTGGAGTCCCTTGGGGTCATGTTCATTGGAAACCTGGCGAGCACAAGTTTCCTCTGTTCAAAATGGATCGGCAGATCCGATGCTCCAATCGGATTGGAAACCGATTTCAATCCAAGGACCCTTTCTCTCGCTCGTCGCCCAAGGCGGTTTTTTTTCCCCTCGGATTGCTTCGGATCGCCGTCCGATTTTCCGTGCCGATCGGGAAGCCAACTGAAAGGGTCCCGGATCCTTTCGCTCATAGCCCAAGGGTTTTCGGATGGCTGTCAGCCCGGGGTCTAAACAGTGATGGACCAAGCCCCACCGGAGCATCTCAGGAAATCAACATTGGCTCGCCCAAAGACATATATACCGGTCTCAAGTGTTTTCCGTTCAACCGTGTCACCTTTCATGAAACCATTTAGTTGGCGGGATCAACTCAGCTTTGACGAAGAAACCTGTTTCTGCCCTCGAGTTTGAAGCTTCTTCTCGCCACTCTGAAAACGAATGGATCTGGCAAGAAAACCTCGGCGAGAACAAGAGATGTTTGGCGTAAACGCCAAACACTTGAAGGCTTGGATGTTCAACCACTTGGGCTAACATGGTTGTAAGCCAACTCTCCCCTACCCCAGTTGCCTGGGTCTCGCCTACTTTCCTGACGCGAGTTGAACATCCAAGGGGTGGATGGAATCCTGCACTAGTTGGAATTCATGCCCATCCATTTTTCGGATTTCCCCTTTAGACACAGCTTTAAAAAAACAGAACGCGGAGCCTTGGAAAAAGCAAAAACAAAAAGAGAGAGATACGCCCAACCAAACCAAACCACCAACCGGTTTTCCTTTTGGTTCCTCGGTTCCCCCGAGAAAAAAGAAACAAGAGACACGGCTTACCCGAACTCAGCGCCGCCTCCAGAAGGCCCAAGCCCATCAATGAGGACAGCAGCAGCAGCGCAAGCACGCTCCTGCTGTTTGGGGGGCTGGGGGGGGGCTGGGGGGGGCTGGGGCGGGCTGGCGGGGGGCGGGGGGGCTGGGGGGCTTGGGGGGGCTGGGTGCGGGGGGTGCGGAGGGTGCGGGGGATTGGGTTGGGGGTTCCCCCTGCACCCCCGGGCTTTGTGGTGTTGGTTGAAAGAAATAAGCCCCAAGTGAAAATCAGCTTCAATTGGTTCATCAGGTTCATGGTTTGTCTTGTTTCAGGAACAAGGCAACTGAACACATCACAACCAGGGAAATGCCACAAATTGGCCCAATGGACTTCCTGAATTTCCAGGCTTCCTAGCAAAACACGGCCTCTCTAGGTGAGAAAAAGGCAGGCGGTCGGCTTCCTTTCAGTTTCCATCCGAATCCCTCCCGAAACGGGCGCCCTCAAAACACAACCCATGCCAAAAAGGCAAAACGTATTTCAAGCACCATGCCAAAAACTGGGTTTCCGTTGAAATTTCGGTGGTTCCCCCGTGGTTTCCGCTGAACCCCCCGTTTAGAGACCACCCACCCCTCTCAAAAAAACAAAGAAGAAAAAAAAAAAGAAGAAAATTCGGCTTTCCCAAGAACCCATCATAGAACCCCCTTTTCCTCCCCCCCGCCCCCCTCCGTTTTTCTTCTCCGGTCTTCGACCCCGTTTCGGCTCACCGAAGCAACGGCTCTCGAAACGGGGCTCCGCAGCAGCCCTGCGGTGTCGAAGCGCTTGCCCTCCACCCAGCCCCGCCACAGCGCCAGCAGCGCCGGCAGCGGGATCGCCGCGGCCAGGGGCCAATTCTCCAGCCAGAGCTCCTGGTGGAAAAATGTGTCCCCGACATCCATGGCGAGCTTCGTTTTTGGGAAAATTTGTTCGGTTCAGGGCTGAAAAACACTGCCGGGGAGGCTATGTGGGGGGGCCTGGGGTCACAGAACCCTCGGCCCCCCTCAGGCACCCCTCAGGTGAATCGAGCTTCGTTTTTTGGAAAATGTGTTCGGTTCAGGGCTGAAAAACACTGCCGGGGAGGCTATGTGGGGGGGCCTGGGGTCACAGAACCCTCGGCCCCCCTCAGGCACCCCTCAGGTGAAATCGAGCTTCGTTTTTGGGAAAATTTGTTCGGTTCAGGGCTGAAAAACACTGCCGGGGAGGCTATGTGGGGGGGCCTGGGGTCACAGAACCCTCGGCCCCCCTCAGGCACCCCTCAGGTGAATCGAGCTTCGTTTTTGGGAAAAATTGTTCGGTTCAGGGCTGAAAAACACTGCCGGGGAGGCTATGTGGGGGGCTGGGGTCACAGAACCCTCGGCCCCCCTCAGACACCCCTGAGGTGAATCCAGCTTCGGTTTTGGAAAAAATGCCCCCGACATCCTTCGTTTTTGGGAAAATTTGTTCGGTTCAGGGCTGAAAAACACTGCCGGGGAGGCTATGTGGGGGGGCCTGGGGTCACAGAACCCTCGGCCCCCCTCAGGCACGCCTCAGGTGAATCCAGCTTCGGTTTTGGAAAACATGTCCCCGACATCCATCAGGCGAGCTTCGTGTTTTGGGGAAAAATGTCCCCGACATCGATTGGGCGAGCTTCGTTTTTTTGGGGGAAAAATCCCCGACATCGATTGGGCGAGCTTCGTTTGTTGGGAAAAAAGGATCCCGATATCGATTGGGCGAGAATCGTTTTTTTGGAAAAAATGTCCCCGACATCGAGTGAGCGAGCTTCGTTTTTTGGGATCAAATGTCCCCGACATCGATTGGGCGAGCTTTGTTTTTTGGGAAAATATGTCCCCGACATCGATTGGGCGAGAATCGTTTGTTGGGAAAAAATGTCCCCGACATCGATTGGGCGAGCTTCGTTTTTTGGGAAAAATGTCCCCGACATCGATTGGGCGAGCTTCGTTTTTTGGGAAAAATGTCCCCGACATCGATTGGGCGAGCTTCGTTTTTTGGGAAAATATGTCCCCGACATCGATTGGGCGAGAATTGTCTTTTGGGAAAAAATATATCCGACATCGATTGGGCGAGCTTCGTTTTTTGGAAAAAAATGTTCCCGACGTCGATCAGGCGAGCTTCGTTTTTGGAAAAAATATGTCCCCGACATCGATTGGGCGAGCTTCGTTTTTAGGAAACATGTCCCCGCCATCGATCAGGCGAGCTTCGTTTTTGGGAAAAATGTCCCCGCCATCGATCAGGCGAGCTTCGTTTTTGGGAAAAATGTCCCCGACATCGATCAGGCGAGCTTCGTTTTTGGAAAAATGTAACCGACATCGATCAGGCGAGCTTCGTTTTTGGGAAAAATGTCCCCGACATCGATCAGGCGAGCTTCGTTGTTGGGAAAAATGTCCCCGACATCGATCAGGCGAGCTCCGTGTTTGGGGGGAGAATAGAAGAAGAAGAAACGACATCGATCCGCTGAGAAGTTGCGTTTGTTGCTGGTGAGGATTTCTTTTTTTCAGCCACAGCTCCTGGTGGGAGAAGGCCATCGATCAGGCGAGCATTGCTTTTAATTCAAAGGTTCAGGGCTCCAGCATTGCTTTTTTCAGAGGTTCAGAGCTTGAGCATTGCTTCTGTCAGAGGTTCAGGGCTTGAGCTTTTTTTTCAGAGGTTCACGGCTTGAGCATTGCGTTTTAGAGGTTCAAGGCTTATACACTGGGCTTGGTGAACAAGGCGACATCGATCAGGCGAGCTTCGTTTTTAGACAGGGCTGATACGCTGGGGAGGCTATGTGGGGGACTGCGACATCGATCCAGTGAGAAGTTACGTCTGTTGCGTGGGGCGCTGGTTTTTTTCAGAGGTTCAGGGCTTATACACTGCTTTGGAGGCTATGTGGGGGGCTTGCATTCTTTTTCAGAGGTTCAGGGCTGATTGAAAAACATGGAGAAACATGGAGACTGGCGGAAAATCGATCAGGCGAGCATTGCTTTTTGTTTAGAGGTTCAGGGCTTAATACATTGCTAAGGAGGCTGTGTGGGGGGGGGCTTTGCGGGACCATAATTCCTGGTGGAACAACTTCCGCGACATCGATCCAAGTGAGGAAACCAAACCTGCGGGGCTGTTGAAAGCCTCGGAAACATGTACGCCGGTGAGAAGTTCTGTGACATCGAGCCGCTGAGAAGTTGTTTTGTTTGTTGCGTGGGGCCTTTGAACGCCTCGGAAAGATGTATGCATGGTTGCCTGCTTGATGTCTTGGTCTGCCTCTGTTGCTTGGTGTCCATGTGCCGCCTTTGTGGTCGCCTTTGATTTGTCCAACGTCCGTGGGCGCAAGACCACCATCATCTTGATCCAAAACAGGTGAACAACTGCTCGTCGACTCAGTGAGAAAAAGATGTGCGGGGCTAAAAGCCTCAGACAAATGTATATGTTTGTTTGGTTGGCTCTAAAGTTCGAAACCAAACGGAACAAAAAGAACTCAATTGTTGTTTTGCCTCGGGGGTGTCCTGCTTTTCCTCTGCTGGTTGGCTCTAAACTCCATTCGCCCAGACTGTGATCCGCCGGAAAATTTGTGCTTTTGCCCCCAAAGAGAGTACTCTCCGTGGAGGGTGGTTTAAGGGGAAACCAACAGGAAGCTACTGTGGATGGACGAAATCCGTTTCGCACCACCTTTCGGAAACCCTAGAATGATTCGACTTCCCTGTAAATAACGGTTTCATTTCGTGGTGTGAGGTGGATTTTGTCCATCCACTGTGTTTTCTGACACACCCAAATGGGAATCCCAACGGCGTGTTTCCTTTGCCAAGTAAGGGCTCCATTTTGAGAAAAGTATCTTGCAATGGGACCTGGGTCTGTTCAACATTTAAAATGGAGGGGTCTTGCTCTTTTCCCTTGAACTTGAAACCAATCCCCGAAACATGATGTAAATCTGTGAACATGAGACCCTTCCCCTGAAAAGGATCTCAAAAAGAAAGAGAGTCACTGGATGTACAATGCTTGCTCGGCCCAATTAAATTTGTTCAGCCGCGTTGTTGTTTCCGGGAGATATGGTCCGATTTCGAGGTGAAACTCGGCAAGCAGGTGCACGCCCCCCCCCCGGGAAATTGAGGGAACCCACTGATACGCGAATCTTGCACCAGAGAAATCAGAAACTCGGAATGGTTCAATTCCCCCAACGGAAATACCCGCAAACAATGGCTGCAAATGGATTTGGTCCACCCACAGTAGATCGCTGGAATGTGTCAAAAAAGTCCATCAAGTCACTGGTGGGATCCAATGAAACGACCACAACAAACCGGCGGCCAAAGCTTTTCTGGGTTGCCCTCAAATCCCCCGCTAAAAGCTTCACTTTGAGTGGGTGAAATGGAAACTACCACTAAAACACTAAAAAGCTAAAAGGCTAAGGGGATGGCTGGGAGCCGCCAAGTTTTTGGCATTCTGTTATTTCCAAAGTGGGCCATCACACGACTACTAAAAATCGCTTTGGAACCCGACTTCTTTGTTTTTCATGTGGCCGAAGAGGTCCGAGTCCAATTCCGATTCAACGCGTCGCAGACATGTTCCGGTCTGCAGTATCAGACGCTGTTCCAAACACAGCTTCGATATTGGTCGATTTTGGCAAAGTAGGAGTACAAGAGGCCAAACGAAGCCAAGTGACCAAAGGCTGGTGGGAAGCCATTGGCGGGTTCCCCTCATTCCATCTTCGGAGTGGAACGTGTCCTTTTTGCAAAAATAGATGGTTCCGGTCGATGCTTCAACCCCCAAACCAGAGCCCTCCACGTTTCACCGCGAAAAAAAGGAGACCAAAACGGGGACCTTCAAGTCTGGGTGTAAAGGCTCTTCGCTCGTTTTCAAGTGGCCTGGGTCTCGGTGTTGTGCACCAATGGCGCCAGGCGCATCAACGTGGTAACCAAGAAGAAGCTCTGCGTCAGCACCTCACAGCTTGGCTTGGCTTGGCTTAGGCTGGGGCGGGAAGGCGCCCAGGGCCACCATAGGGAGGGTTACCCATCGCTGCAACCCTGGACTGGATGGTCATCCAGCCCATCAACTTGCACATCTGAGCATGCAATTGCCCCGGGCTGCCCACTGAACATTCTCCTGAAATACTGAAATACCCATGTTTGCATTGACTGGAACAACATGCTTGAGTTTCGTGCCGCACGGCACGACATGTTGATACGACCTGCCCATGCAGTCCGGACACTCGGACGATGACATGATTTGCTTGGGCATTGCTTTACGACGACATCTAAAACATGCGGAACGCGAAATCGGCAAATACCCAGAAACTTGTGTGAAAGGCCTCGAAGTTGTGTCCTTGTTCTTTGGTCACTCACGCCTTCACTTCTTGTTTGTTTGTGAAAGTTCCCAAGTGTGTGCATCCAACCAAACAGCTTGAGGCGTGCAACGTCTTCAAAACGGGGTCTTCCGTGCCTTTCTCACCAAGAGAAAATCAGCGACACAAATTTCCAACTAAAGGGTAGGATAAGCCAACATGAAACAAACTGTGGTCATACATTGAAAGCAAGTAACATGATTAGAGTTAGGCCCAGATATAAAATGTATATTTTATTGTTTGCTTCACTTTGAGTCACTGGTAAAACGTAAAATGTATCCTAGGTCTACCCCAGGTAAGAAGAGTATTATCAAGTTTCATGTTTTTAATGACTTGATCAACCGTATCCTCTGCTGTCCCTCAGGACATTGGACACCATGACCAAGCTTTGCGGGGCCTCGGATATGTTCCTTACCACGGCCGGCAGTCGCGTTGCCTCCTGGATTCCTATGGTGGCTAACGATGTTGGGATGATCATGATGCCTACTTGGATGTTCGGCCAAGTTGGTAAGTGGGTAGCCAGGTTATAACCCGCTAATAACAAGGTTAACTCCACTTAGGGGAGCTATCAGTGGGTTGTAACCTAGGTTACCAGCAACTTACTAACTTGCCCGAGCATCCAAGTATGGCTCCATTCTGTCACAACTATCAAAGTCAACGTCCCCCATCAAAGTCACCCCCCCCCCCCCGTAATAGCGGAAGATTAAAGGCAAGTGACTTTGATACTTGCCAAAAACCGCCAAAATAATCACTCAAGATGCAATTGAGCAACCTTCCCCAGGCTGAAAGAGCATCTTAGGTTGAAGAATCGCTCCGGGCAAGAAGAATCGACCGCGCCTTCCTTGATTTGGTTTCAAAACGGACGATCGGGGACATTGGGGTGTGTCGTTTTGTTGTTCTTTTTCTTTTTTTCTCTTTTTTTCTTGGGAGGGGCAAAACAAACAAAAGGGGGTTTCATGTTGACTTCCCTAAAAACCCATCAAAAACGGGGGCACCTAGCCTGTTGTTTTCGGGGGGCCAAAACAAACAAATGTCAAAAGGGTCTTTTGTCATTTTTGACTTCCAGCTAGCCCATTGAAAGCCGAGACACAAAGGAGCTCTGCTTGCTGATCTTGCCACTGCTCAAGGCTGAGGCGAAGTATACCATGATCCTCAGGCAGTTTTTTGCCGAGGCGGAACATGTCCACAAGAAAAACCGCCTATTTGCCTCCATTTGGTTAAGACCACTGGAAAAAAATATGTCCAGTAGTGAAAACAATCCTTTTAAAACCAACACGGGAAAACAAATAAAAACATTCAGCAAACGGATGTTTAGGGTTGTTTTAGGGCCATTTCCTCTGGATTTTCCTGCAACCAAATTTGTTGGATTTGGCAAGAGGGAAACCCTTCGCAAGAAACCCAACGGAATCACTGGAAAGCCATGGCTTCGAAGAGCTGCGAAATGGATTTTTCCTCCATCGGTAGGTTTAGCATAGGCGTGCTTTTGGGAGTTGATCCAGGTTTTCAGTGGAGAGGTTAGATTCAGGGTACCAACTTTTTTAGTAGGGGAACCCTCCCCCAAAAAAGGGTACAAGGGCACTCACTGGGGCACCTAGTGATAGATGGCCCTGGATGTTTCAACCAAGTTTACCAGGGCCCGCTATGTTCAGTCAAACTAACCAAAAAGCAGACCTATGCTTAGAATCAAGGTTTTGGGAAGGCAAGTTGCAGTTCCCCCCACCTGGACCAACACACTCTCCAACAAAACACCTCACACCCAGGCAATTTTGGTCCATGCCAGTCTTACACACGGGTTCTTGTCTTTCTGTGCGATGCTTATCTGGGCAAACTACAATATCTGACAACCGGTAGAAAGAATTGGGCTCTATGAAAGGAACCTTCACTATGGGCGACTTCAAAAACTCCCCGTTCAAAAAACAACTTAAAAACGGCTGGAAGCCGCATAACTTTCTTCGTGCGTCTAGCTTGTCTCACAAAAAATGGCCGGATTTCCAGTGTTCCTTTCGGTTTTCCTTCCAAAAAGCAGCCCCAAAAAGAGGGTAACACCCCCACCAATCAAAGATTCGGCCAGCCACGAATTTCCGCGGAGGCTTCTCGCAAAAAAAAGCGGCTGATTGTAAAGCCTGGCGCCTTGTTCCCATGAGTTTTCTCCCCCAGCAGCTGCGCTATGGATTTGGCCTATAGGCCAAAGTATGCGATAAGGGATAGTTTGTGACAGCTTTCAGGGGAGGGTTCCACAAGGTTCCGGGGCTGTTGTGGATCCCACGTCCGGATTCCCAATAGAATTGTGACACCCCCATCTCTCAAATGTGCAACCAAGGTCAGGTAAGTAGGTCATCAAGGGAAGTTTAGAAGGAACTTCTGTAGTACAGAAACAAATTGAAAGGTAGCTTGCGCAGATAGCTAGAGCTTCAGAAGATTAGGTAGCGCGCTCGAAAACATATCTCTAGAAGATCAGATAGCGCACGGAGAAAAAAACGTATGCGAGAAAACATGCGTGGGCGCGTAGCGGGAGAACAGACATCGCGAAGAGTGGCCCTCTGCAGGCTTTGGCGCGCACACGTCGCTGTCAACCATCTCTGTCTCGACGCCTCTCTGGCGCGATTTCGGCGCGGGTTCGGCGCGGGCTCGGCGCCCGGCCCACTGTGATGGCAAAGCGAATGTTTCACAAGGTTTGGATTGCGAGAAAGAAAAAGAAAAGAAAGAAAAAGAAAAAAGAGAAAGAGAAGAGAAAGAGAAAGAGAAAGAGACAGAGAAAGAGAAAGAGAAAGAGAAAGAGAAAGAGAGAGAGAAAGAGAAAGAAAAGAAAGAAAGAGCAAGAGAGAGAGAGAGAGAGAGTGAGAGAAAGAGAAAAGAAAGATAAAGAGAAAGAGAAAGGGCAAGAAGATAAACATAAAGAGAAGCAAAAAAAGGAAAAAGAAAGAGACAAAGAAACAAAAAAGATAAGAAAAGAGAAGGAAAAAAAGAGAAAGATAACGAAAAAGGGAAAGAAGATAAAGGGAAATAAGATAGAGAAAGATAAGGAAAGAAAAGAGAAAAGAGAAAAGAGAAAGAGAAAGAGAAAGAGAAAGAGAACGAGAGAGACAGAAGAGAGGAGAGAGAGAGAGTGAGTGAGTGAGTGAGTGAGTGAGTGAGTGAGTGAGTGAGTGAGTGAGTGAGTGAGTGAGTGAGTGAGTGAGTGAGTGAGTGAGTGAGTGAGTGAGTGAGTGAGTGAGTGAGAGAGAGAGAGAGAGTGAGAGAAATAGAAAAGAAAGAGAAAGAGAAAGAGAAAGAGAAAGAGAAAGAGAAAGAGAAAGAGAAAGAGAAAGAGAAAGGGAAAGAAGATAAGGATAAAGAGAAGGAAAAAAACGAAAGAGAAAGAGAAAAAGAAACAAAACAGATAAGAAAAGAGAAGGAAAAAAGAGAAAGATAACGAAAAAGGGAAAGAAGATAAAGGGAAAGAAGATAAGGGAAAGAAGATAAAGAGAAAGATAAGGAAAGAAAAGAGAAAAGAGAAAGATAAAGAGAAAGAGAAAGAGAGAGACAAAGAAAAGAGGGAAGAAAAAGATGTCGAGAGAGAGAGAGAGAGAGAGAGAGTGAGAGAGAGTGAGAGAGAGTGAGAGAGAGTGAAAGAGAGTGAGAGAGAGTGAGAGAGAGTGAGAGAGCGATAAAGGAAAGAGAAAGAGAAAGAGAAAAGATAAGAAAAGAGAAGGAGAAATATAAGAAAGAGAAAGATGGGAAGAGAGGGAAAGAAAATATATTCAGAAAGTGAGAAAGAGAAAGACTAAACAAAAATAAAGAGAAGAGAAAGAAAAGAGAAAAGAAAGAGAACGAGAAAGAGAAAGAAAAGAAAAAGAAGGGAACATGAACCCAACGAAAGGCACGTGGGACGTTGCTGACACGAAACAAGTGAAAAACCTCGGATTCTACTGCGCAGTGGCGCGGTGCTGCGGTCTGGTTCAGCTGCACAATCAGCAGCTTCACAAACACGCTCGCCTGAACTTTCTGTTTCCGCCACTGTCCGCTTTTTGCCTGGTCTGTACCCAGACGGCTGGCGGGACGCGCTGGAAAGCGAGGAGGCCCGCGCTCCAATTTTACTGCGCTCGAGATTGAGCCCAAGGCGCGGACGCGCTGATGTCGTCAGACTAGCTTGCGCTCCCGCCATCGGCTTGCCGTCAATGGCAGCCGACCAAACAGCAGGGAGCAACCGAGCAAAAAAGGAAGGCAAAAAAGGCGCGAGGCCTTGCGCTACTTCTCACCTGCTTAGAAACTTCCGACCACCGGCTTCGCCAGCTCTTATCTTAACCATAGGGGGCCAACCCCAGCCGACCAGCAACAACCGTCTCCAAACAACTAAAAACCCCATTGACTTTCCTTTCCTGTTGGTTAGAACATAGCAGTTGCCACCCACCCACAAAAGCAAAAATAAGAAGACAACCTGGCGGGTGATTCCGGTTTGCTCGGCTCCCTCCTTTCGCCACTAAGAATAGTCCAGCCGCAAGGGCCCGGGGAGGCCCACCAGGCCATTCAGGAACCCGCTGCCCAAGCCCAAAGCCACCAGCTGCAGCCCCTGCTGCCTGCACAGCCGCCGATCCTCCTCGCGCTTTTGGGGGGGAGGGGCGCTTTTTAGGAGTCGACGGTCGGGCGCCCAAGGAAAGCCAAGAGGAAACCAAGAGGCTTGTTTGGTTAATTAGATTACTTAGTTGGTTGTCAGGGTGCTCGTTTGGTTGTAAAGGAAACCCAAGAGCAAACCAACATTTGTTGTGTCTTTTCTCTTGAATCGGACCCCCAAAATGACGCAACCCTGTTCCTTTTAATTTCTCCTTAAAGGCACCAAACAAAAGGCACCAAGGCTCAAAAAAGAACACCCCATTTGATTTCTCGGAAACGAGTCACACGAGCAAACGAAAGCTCAAAAACCGATCGAGTGTGGATTGGTCCAGTTGTTGCTTCCCCACGAAATGGTCTCACCTTCCTCAACATCAACGCCAACTACCCCGCCACCACCACCATTTAGTGGAATGGCCTAAGTGGATTGAGTGGAGTAACCAATCTTTCTATCTACCAAATGCTCTTCCCACAAGTTCTTTTAGTTCGAAAAAAAGGAACTTCGAGTGAACGAAGAAGAACCGAAATTCCGAGCAATTGAAAGGGTCCAACTGGAGACGCCACCCTTCGAAATATATGGGGCGGTGGCGTTTTCCATGTGAAGGCATGCCTATCTTGACGAAAAATGGGACCAGAACTTCTCACCGAAGTTTCATGCGCAGCCTGCACTTCAGCCACAGGGCTTCTCTGGTTCACTTTCCTTGGTGCGATAGGTACAGGTAGGGAACGTGGTCGAATGTACCAATGGTGAAACAAATAAAAGAAACAAAACCAGCGGGCAACCACCGGTGCTTGATGGTTTTCTGGGGATCATTCCATTTCTCATTACGTAACTTGCTGGTGCTCAGCAGGGAATGCAAGCTTACTTATCACACTCGTCGCGAGTTTTGCCCGGCCCACTCCTCCTCGGGAGCCTCCGGCTCCGCCATCTTGGGCTCCTGCCGAAGTTTGGCGCAATCCGCGGCTCGTGGGCAAGCTGAACCAAAGCGATGGGCGAAAGCTGTTTGAGATGGGGACCATCTACCGACCGGCTGTCGGGGCTGCCGACACGGCTGACCTGAAGCTTCTTTTAGGCTTGCTCGACTTGTTTCCTTGGCCAACTGTTGGTCAGCTTCCAGAAGGAAACCGCAAAACCACAAAGCCTTTTGAGACAACCCCAAGCCCGCAAAAACCTGAGCAGGAGGTTGCCATCGGGCAACCACTTCGGCAGAGCTCTCAATCGCGCAAGGCTACGAAATCCGTTCCCACCAGATTGAAACTATGGCTTGAAGCCAGAGCGGCTGTTGGTAATTTACAGGTTGAATTATTCCATTGTTTCTGAGTTTGGTGGTGCCGGGTGTGAGATGGATTTCGCAACCATCCACAGTATCATGAAGGTCTGCTGGCAACTTGGCTCATTAACTTCGCGCGAGGCTCTTAAGGCAACTGCAAGCTTCGTCCTGGGCCGTTTGGAACTTACTCACGTCGTCTGGCGTGAAAACTTCAAAGCTGAAGGCAGGCAGTGCAGCGAACCCAGTCACCGGCTGGGTCTGCTTTCTGCCGGCCCCTGGCGGAATAAGGGTATTTTCATACCCGTCCGCGTGTGTCCGCGTTTCCGTGTTAGGGCACCAATCCGGGTTACCCGGGCTCCGTCGGCGGCCGGAGAAATAAAATCATGTCAATTTCAATCCATAACCCGAGCCTCCAGAGGAGCGGTTAACCACTACCTGTCCAAGAAGGCCAGCCAAGTCACAAATACTGGCTGGGTTTAAATGCTGTCGTGCAGTGAAGCTATCGTGCACAGCTCCTCTTTTGTCGGTTAAAACCAGCGAAGTCCAAATGAGTCAGCTGGTCCGCCCAAACATTGGAGCATCTCTTGACATGGTGGAGAGATTAGACCAACCGCTTCTGTTCCTGGGCCAATAACTCCATCAGCAGAGCCGAGCACGGCCACTTCTTCTCGGAGCGCTTCACAGCAGCCTAGGAGTTGCCTTTTGTCGGTCCGGAGCGGGATGTGTACTTCGAGGCGGTGGGTACTCACCTTGTCTGCTGTGAACATGAACAAGGAGCCCAAGAGTTCGCTGCGATTCGCCTCACTGGCCGCGCGCGTGTGTGTGTGTGTGTGTGTGCCAGGAAGGGTGTACTTCGCAACATCGAAGGGAAGGTGGTTGGGACAAGCACAAAGCCACCCACCGCCCTGGTTGGGGAGGCAGCCGGTCGGGCGGTTTGGGGGCTGGGAAGCTACAAGGCAGAACCTGACTTGAGTAGGGATGTGCGCGCCACCTGCTCACCCCCCAAGTCTTGGTAGGTGCAGGCCAGTTCTCCCCTCTTTGCAATTGCCAACATGACCTTCAAGTCGTCGTGGCCACGTTACCCTGCGCCTCCGTGTCCCTCCTCCTGTTCTCCCTGCAGCTCGCGGTGCTTTTCGCCAGCCTAAGCGCTGGCTGGGGTTCGTCCTTGCAATGTCGGGGCTAAAGACCACGCCATCCTCCGAAAGCGCCTGGGAGTCGTTTCCCAAGCGGGATGCGAGCTGGGTTGTGAAGAGGTCTGCAGCCCAAAGGAGGCTTCCGGAGCCAGCCGCTGCATGTTGTCCACAAGGATGTCGTTGTCTTCACCACCCAAGGCAAGTCTACCCCCATCCCATTCACCAGTCAGCTAGGACCGCTTTTGCCACCACCTTGTTCTGGATGCAGGCCTTGTTCCACAGAAGTCCTCCATGTCCACGTAGAGCCAGTCCTTCTCTGAAGAAGTGCCATCAGTCCGGCTAGTTGCCAGGACTCCCCTGCAGCGGAATCGGCGCTTGCAGCAGTACCAGCTAGATGGTGTAGTCTGGAATCAGCGCAAGAGGCAGCCGTCCTGTCCCAGAGTTCTTCGGGATTTCCACCTTGACCTCCGTGTCCATGTCCATGGGACCCTGAGTCAGGCGAAGTAGCTTCACGCCCGCTTCTCTCGCTGCGTCGTGCTTTGCATCCATCGCAGCAACTATGGCGAGACCGAGACTGAGGGCAACCAATGGGTCAAGAGAATGGCCCCGAGAAGAGAAACGTCCGAGAAAGCACCCAACGGTTCAGGCAGCAGCAAATGGAACTTGGCCCCAAGACATCCTTGTTTCACAATCTCTATAAGTCTGGTGTGAAACAAGCTTTGAGGCACTACTAACTGTCTACCTCTTCTTGTTTGGTAAGTTTCTAAAGCTTCTCATGTGTGTTCTTTTGGGAAAATCGATGAAATGTTGTTTTTTTTCTGGTAGATGATGGTGTATTTACAAAATTCAACCAAAAAGAGACACCTATGCTTGGTGACCGCATTTTTGTATCCGGGCTCCTCGTCCTTTAACTCCTGATAGTGGGATGCTTCAGGCACCTCAAAGGGTCAAACAAGGACTAGTCGCCCGACTGAAGAACAGACTTGGATGTGCGTGTTTTGACTGGCCTCAGTATTTTACCATGATCAAAGTCACCCTCTAGGTGATGGGCTAAAGGGAAACAACCCCATTTTGGAGTTTGACAACCGCTAGAAACAATCAAAATGAGGACCCCAATTTGAGGGTATCAGTTGTCAGGTTGACTTAAAGACAAGAAGATACGGAGTCTCGTCGGTGGGACCCAGTCCACGTCAGTACCATACCACAGCAAAACCCCAAGCCCCTTCCAATACAGTTTTGATACCTCACAGGAAACTTACAACTCGCGCAAACAAAAAGCCGAATGCTGTTTCGCTAGCCAACTTGCGGATAACAAGGATCTCAGCCGGACAAGGGATCCTTTGCAAGTTTTAAATGAGCATTAACGTGCAATTGTCTTAACGTGAATTTGTGTGCTTCTTCTCAAGTTCTGAACGGTGCGCTTAACGTGTATTTGTCTGTGTTGGCTTTCGTTACTAGCTATGCACCTAGATCTCGGGGGGACATTCAACTTCCGTCAAAGGAATTTCCTGGTGTGGCTTTTGGAGGCATGGATAACGCGGAAGATACCCCATATAGCAGTGGTGACCTTCATACTTTCAAAGCCCATCCCTGGAAATGCCAACCCTAAGCAAGCTGCTGATGCCCTTATCTCATGGGATTCCATGACTACATATGTCAATCTGCTCTGGATATCAGGTCCTATGGATGAAACCTGACGTTGGAGGGTATCTCCCCCAAAAGAAGCTACCATGTCTTCAGCCGATGGGAAACGCGGGTGTACATGCTGCTAGCTTACCTTGAACACAATTAAATTGTATTCAAAACCGATCGGTACTGTGGACGAACAAAATCCTGCATCACTCTGAAACCGTGGAAGAAAACCATTGTTCTTTGGTATCTACAGGGGAATAGTGCTTCAGGAATTGTTCATGCGGATATCCCCTTCATCTGCCCGAATCGGTTTGGAGCCAGTGGCTCACCGCTTGCCCAGCTTGGCCCGCGGATTGCCCGGCTTGGTTCGGCCAACGTGCGGAAGACTTCTCTTTCGCAGGAGGTCCCCTAAGACAGTTGGTTTCGCTTTTGGTTTCCTTCTATATACATACCAAAGGGGTCCACCATTTTGAGATTCACCCACATCGAGACAAAACTCGCCCCGAGTTCTTTCCCCAACATATGGCTACGAAGAATTAATGGGAAACCACCATTGCAACAGTGGTTGCTGGACATGAATCGGCACCCGAATTCTGCTCTCAATTTCGGGCCCCACGAAAAAACAAAAACAACTACCCAATGGGCGCCTGCTCGGGGGACGGTGGGGCCGCGAAAACGCTCCGGAACTCCCCGGTGAGTTTGTAGACGGCCACCAGGTAGAAGAGGACGTTCCTTACGCTTCGGTGTTCAACCAACGCCAGGTAAGTGGGTTATAACCATGGTGACAAACCAACTAGCCCCAGTTGCCCCCGTAATAATTCAACCTAAAAGTTGTGGTGACTGGCTAGTCCCCTTACAACCATGGTTATAACTTATAACTTATAACCTACTTACTAAGATGGTTGACACCAAGTACAGGGCCAAACAGAGGCTTCAGGTTGGGCCATGAAGAGAGCGTGTAGATGTTTAGGGGGGACACATGTGCCAGGTTGGGTGTGACAATGGGGGGATGACTTTGACCAGCCACTTGCGCACTGGGCTAAGTACTCAAGATGGGGGGCAGCCAGCTGGCCGCGTAGGGCAAGATTCCTGACAGACCCGACCTGCCATTTTGGCAGCGCCGGAAAGTGTGGGCAAACTCAGCACGCATGCAATCATGCTACCTGGTTCTGGCTACTGCACACAAAGGGACACCCTGCGCGTTCCTCAACGCCTCGCACCAGTCTCAAACCGCCTGACCCGCAGCATCCTGTATTTGGCACAGGGATGGAAAGGCATCGCTTGCTTGCTCGGTTCCATCTTGCCCCCGCCCCCCATCCACGGAGAGCTGGTTAGTCTTTGCCTGAAGGCCTGCACGTTTTCAGAGATGTCCCCAACATTGCATCAGGGGCTGGTACATTCCGAGGGGCAGCGCAGTCTTGACAAGGTCCAAGGTTTCGTGGTTCTCCGCCGTTTGCACCAAGAGGTAGCCTCGGAGATGGCAATCCATCAGCTCGGAAGCTAGTTGTTATCAATGCTTCGATGATGCGCCCCTTCAGAAACCAGCAAAGACTACACGCAGCGACAAGCCACCGTTCCTTGGGCACGCGCGCTTGGAACCAGAATTATTTGCGAAGGCTCGCCAATTGCTATCCATGTTGGAATCAGCAACAGCACATTGGTTTAGTGCTTCTTGCACACCCAACCACCCTGGCAGTCACGCACGAGACACATAGGTGTATATCTTGATATTTATATATATATATATACATATGTAGCAAGCTGCCACGCAACATTTGGCACACTCACAATGCACGCATACATACATACATACATACATACATACATACATACATAAATACGTACGTACGTACGTACCTACCTACACATACGTACATACGTCGACATGAAACATACATAGATACATTCATACATGCATACACTATACATTGTTTCATCACCTTACATCACAGTACATTGCGACACAATACAATGCAATACAGTACAGTACAGTACAGTACGATACAATAGAATACATACACACATACAATCAGACATAGCATCACATACCATTGCACACCATTACATACACACTTACAAAATACATTGACCCTCCGAAAGACTGCTCTTGCCATGCTTCACAGTACTGCGCCTGTCATGAAATCTGCACATGAACCTCCAAAGTACTGCGCCTGCCACGGAAATTGCGCTCCAAAGTACTGCCCTTGTCACGCAAGGTGAGCTTGCCGAGAACTCAAGACTGTCCACAATACTGCGCCTGTCACGAATCCAACTTTGACACGTTTACGCCGCGTGTCCGAAATAGCACGGGACTGCGCCAAAATGATTTCGACCAACTTTGACCAAAATTTCAGCTCGCCAAAGCCAACTGATTGCACGACGGGGCTAAGGAACGCTTGCACTCGACTGCCAAGCAAGACATCTCAAAAGGATAGCCTCGGAATCGCAGATTACAACGGCACGGCGACGACAAACGCTCAACCGTTCAGCGAACCAACATGCGACGACGCAAAAGCTACGATTCACAAACGGGCGCAACGAAAACAACCTGTTGGAAGTCGTACCAATCGCACATTCTGAGCCTTCCCCCACAGCACGGCTACTTTTGCCACATGCGACCGCTTGCAGGCGCAAGAAGTCTTGCGGACGCGACGCGACTCTGGCGAACACATGTGCAGAAACGCTTTTTTGGGACCTGGGAGCTTGGGAGACCTCAAGTTTGCAAATGATCCTGGGAGTTGGCCCAGCCCAAGAGATCTGCAAATTGGTTCTTTTGCTTCTTTTGGGACCTCTTGAGGTCATAGCCTCCCAGGATTCTCCGCAAAATGTGAGGCTCGCCTGCAAGTCTGCAGGGCCCCAGGTAAACCAAAAATCCTAGGAGGCCACGATCACACGTCTGCAAGGGTCCAACAATATGCACAAACAAACAACAAAAACAGAGGTATCGAAAAACCCAGCCTCCCTTCACGTCCCTCTCTGCTCTTTTATGGGGGCCCCCCACAATAGTGTTCCTTCTGGCGTTCTTTTGAAACCACAAAAGCGGGGTACCCTCAAAAACAGACACGCCCTACTGGATATGGACATGACGTTCTGTTTGGGGACCTTGTGGTTTAGGCGATTGATGTCCATCACTTTGGAGGGGGAGTACCTATTGAAATTCATAGCAAGGGTGTGTGTCGCAAAATAGGCAAATCCCCACAAGAGTTGGTTTCCTTTTGCTTTGCCTTTGAACCAGCCAGAAAAAAAAAGGACCCTGAACAACCATGCGCTTACAGGGCTTGGATACCCCGAGCTCCCTAACAGCTCCCTGGTCAAAAAACGAACAGTGGTCATAGTTGCCTAAACTCACCATCCCTACCAAATTGAAGCGGGGTGGTTGATGGCAGACATGGCGTGTCTTTTGTTGAGACTCGGTATCCTTTTTCAGGTGGAAGCCAAAAAAAAGCTAACTACCCATTTTGAGGGGTCCAGCCTTAAATTAAGACACATTCAAGGTTCATCCTTTCATGCTGGGGATTGTCCACCCACCACTTGTATCAGTGGCTCCATATTGAAAACGGAGAAGCATGACATCTTCTCCATCCGGGATTGTCCACCAACCTAAGGGTGGCTCCATATTAAAAACAAACAAACATGCCATAGTCTCGATCTGTTCATCCTTTGGTGCTGGGGATTCATGTCCACCAACCAGGTGGCTTCAAATATATATATATATATATATCTTCCCACCAACTACTTGTAAGAGCATATGTCTCTTCTTCTTTCCCTTTCTTCTTTCAAAGGAAGGAACCAAGACGACCAAAGAAAATGGGCCGTGTCTCCATCCAGGCAGCTGCCTAGGATGGTGCCCGGCAGGCACAAGGCGGACAGCAAGATCTGGCTCCGCCACAGCGGCAGCGCCTTCCTGCGAGCGAGAGCTTCGGGCGGAATTCAGCTCTCGCGGCTCGCGGCGGCGGGAAAGGCGTGGGAGAGTCACGCAGGCTCAATTTTCGGATGAATAAATGCCTGGTTGATTTTGATCGGGGGGTGTCCCTTTTAGTGGTTGGATTCAGACCACTTTTGGAGGGAACACCCCCCTAATAATGGGGCGGGTTTATTAATCCTGGGTCAACATTATCAAAATGGTCGTAACCCCAGAACCATGCAATTAAAGAATCAAGAAGGCGGATGGCCGCAACTATTTCTGGCGACTGCCCCTTACTAACCTTCATCTACCCGGGTTTCGAGCAAGTGGCTTCCAGGAGACAAGAACCGAAGGGAGGGTAGGGGATGCACGTGGGTTTTATTGAGGAAGTCAACCCAGGAATTTGTTTCGCGGTTTTTTGAGATTCAGGCCAATGTGACTCTAACTTGATGGGAAGATCACGTCTCCAGGGATGTGGGGATGCAAAAAAAGATGTCGAAAGCTACTGTGCTCCCAACTGGCATAGGAAATTGGTCATCCTGTCAGGTCTTAATGGTAATGAGTCCGACCAATATCAGTCCTCTTACGACAACAAATGACGCCTAATATTGACCGTTGCTCATATGTTCCCTTCGTCTCACAAGGGATTTGACCAGTTTCAGATGCTGTAATTGGTGTTGCCAGATTCTCTCTATAGGGCGCCTTGTGTAGAATTCGTCCATGCTCCTCGTAAGACACCTGGATACAACGGAAAGTCTGACACCTTCGTCCCCCTGGGTGTCCATCACATTCTGAACATAATTTAAGCATCCAGCTTCTGTCGATAGGAGATCATCACAGTGGGGATATTACGTACTGGTGGCATCCTTGAATCAAAGGATGCCTGATGGCGTGCTATTTAACAAACATGACTGCACACCAGCCTCCCTTGATCACGCGATATGATCCACCAAAGAATCATGCACCCATTCCAAGGCCAACACATTGACCGGAACATTCTCTAGCAGCTTTCGCGGCCTAGTTTACCGGAAGCCACATCATCCAGGTCTGTCCACGTTGCTCAGCGTCCAAGTGATGATCAAGCCAACTTCTGCTATGTTGCCCCTCAGGCAGGTGTCGCATGATGGCCCCCTAGCAGCCTCCGTTCAATAGCCCCAAGCTGTAGCTGTGGACGGCTTTGGAGGCCTTCTACTTCAAATTCCACCAGCACCAGGTCAGCTTCCCCTTTTCTTGATGTTTTGTGATGAGTCGTGACCTTGGCACCTTTTTTTGAAAATCATAGCTTCCCCAACCAGCCAAGAGCCTATGCTGCAGGTCTGAAGATGAAGGGCTTCATCCAACTTGACAAGTCAAAGGGACCAGTTGTTTTCTGCTGCCGCAGGAATGTTTTAGTTGCTGATGCTTGTGTTTTAGTTGGTGCTTGGCCGTCCTCTCTGGCTCCCATTCACCTCGAGTGCATACCCCTTGCGTGAACAATCCCCCGAAAGCTGAACGGTATCCGACAAACCCCCTAGGTTCATTGAAGCGACCGCCCGAAAAATACCCTTGCAAAATCTTGGTGTGGCAGGGAACCCCAAAAACATATAACTTTGAGCAGCCTTCAAGACGTTCACTTGAGTCACTTGCTCAAAACCCGGTATTAAAATGGTCTAGCACCAGGTAAAGAATTGAGAACGCGGATGTCCGCAGCTATTTATGATTGGGATTCTCCCTTAACCTTCATCTACCCGACTTTGAATGTGGCTCACTTTGGATTCGGCATCTGTATCCTCTCCTGCCCACTGCTGCGAAGAGCACCGGAGAGGTGGTCATCTCAAAGACCGTGCCCAGCAAGACCATGAGCACCGCGCTTTCGAGCCCCGGCACAATCTCGAACTGCCCGCACACGCTGTAGACCAAGGTAAACCTGTTGCGCCAACAGCTGGGGCTTCATCAACTGGGCTGCCCGTTTTCAGATCCCCCACTAAAAGTGACTAACTTTTAGTGGGTTAAATACGGAAACTACCACGAAACACTAAAAGGCTAAGGGGATGGCTGGGAGCCACCAAGTCAACGAACCTCTGGTCCACCCCCTATATGGAGGCTTCAGTATCTGCAAAACCTCAACCCAAGTTACAAGGGAAAAAGGCAACCCCTCTTTGTGCTTTGAGATTATCTGCTCAGTACAGACTGCACATGGAATATGCGATGCCGGTGGAATGCATGTGTATATATACATGTATATATATATATATATGCACACATACATCTATATGCATAGCCCGTATATCATTGAACCAAAGGAAGCTTGACAAGAAGGCAAGCTCTCACTGCACCCGCGCAGGATCTCAAAGGCTGAATGATGCACTGGGAGCAAAAAGCTACGAACAAGGGCTGAAAACGTGGCCATGTGGTGCGCCAACCACCTGAGTCGCGACATCTGCACGGGGGCGGGTGTGGAACGGGCTCGCAGCGGGGTCGGCAACGGGGCTACGGTCGCGGCTTCAGTCGCCCCAGCCTTCAATCGGTGAAACCAAAGCACACTTTGGGCACAAACAAAATCGTGGCGTTTCCTATGGTGTTCACTTCGCGCTAGAAAATAGAAGCAGGCCGAGCACGTGGCCCAGTGCGTGCACTCGGTCGCGACGTCTGTACAGGTTCGGAGTGGGCTGTGCGGGTAGACCTTTTAAAAAAAGGACTGTGCTTACGGCTTTCCTTTTTTTTTTACGTTTTGCACTCTTCGCTTGCGAGACCCTCTGCGCACTTTGGACAGGTCAAAGTTCAAAATTTGGTGTTGTGTTTGACGCCTTTGAACAACTAGGTACCTATCTAGCTAGTTTAGCTCTCTAGCTACTTAGCTCATCAGCCCCAGCGGATAACTAGGCACAAGTAACTAGCGAGCACTTGTGTTGTTTCAAGATTAAACGAAAAATGATAAGCCCAGATACTACCCGCAACAGCCCTGCAACCCCTTGGAACCCTCCTTTTGAACCCTCCTTGTTTCAGTTGCTTCAAACCAGCCCGAACGAGCCGATTCTTCGGCCTATCGACCAAATCCAGAGCTGAACCAGCTGAGAAAAAAATATAGCAACCCTGATGCAGACGCGCTTAGGCACGATTACAAAACTTGCTCAGGTTCTCAGGGAATGAGAAATGGAATAGTGTCCTTCCTTCGTTCCTTCAGTGATGTCCTTTCTTCGGAAAGCCTGGTTCCTTCAACATCCCTTACCGGAGAAAAAACAAGAAAGAACAAAAGAGAGAGAGAAAAAAAAAACAAAAAAAACAAAAAGTCCCTTTCCGGAGGGAAGAAAAGGAGAGAGAAAAAAGGAGCAAGCAAGAGAACCCCCACGCTTCAGAGGGCACCAACGTTTCAACCCGGCCCCGGCTTAAGAAGCTTCCAGGAGGGCGCCTGTTGGCGCCGAAGATATATATATATATATGTATATATGTATATACACATTTAAATATATATATATATATATTTGAATATATGTATATATGTGGCCATGGGTCAAAATCCCGGTTAGCCCCCAGTGAACATCCCAATCCCCAGGTGAAATAGACGAAAATAGGTGGTGTGCCTATCCCAAAATGGTACCATTGGTTTGGAACCATAGCCATATATATATATATGTATAATCCCTGGGTCTTGTGGGGAACTTGAGCGAGTTCTTGTTTTGGAACTTGAGTGAGCCTTTCATGTCTCCAAGTCCCCAAATGAAACCAAAGACTACCAGCAATTGTGATCAAACCTCAGATGTGTCCCTGTTCCATTCCTTCGCCAAGCACCCAAGCCCCATGTGTGCTCACCCGTCCAAGGCTTCGGCAGGATGGAGCCCCCGAAGCCGGTGGCCGCGCGCACGAAGGCGCCGCAGACTGCGGCCAAGACCACTACCACCACAGTGCCGCCGTTCATGGCGTCAAGCGGTCGGCGGGTCTGAATCTGAATCTAGGTGTTCCATTGAACATTTCAATTTTCAGAAGTATGGCTGCTGCTCTCGTCTTGTGTTTATGCTTGGAATGCTTTCTGCTCTGTGAAAAGGCGTCCTAAGCAACGGGGGTTGTTCTGAGTCAAGCCATTGCAGCACTTCTTCAGGGACAGCTCGAGCTATGTCGAGTGCTTGCCGAGCCACGCACATGTGCAATCGTGCGGGGCGAAATGACATGGCATCTCTCAGCTCAAAATGCACCGGTAGTCCTTTCAAAGCCACAATCAAAACCTGGCTCGAAAGGGATCCATCTAAGATTGTTTCAAAGAATAATGAGTTCTCTGGGTTGTGATAGTGACTCAAATGAGACTGCCCTTATGATACATTCCTTAATTCGCGGAAAAGTGATAAGCATTCAGCGCGAACAGGCTATCACCCATCCAGCTGAGGCGCCATAGGGCCCCCTTTTGGTGCATTCCGGGACCAGCAAATTGGGAACCCGAAAACGGGAAAGATCCAGTCAGATCCGGTCGACTCGCTTTGCAAGAGACATGTAGTCAGTGCTCAGCGCATGTCTGGAGAGGTGACTCACCTCGAAGTCCCAAACAAAGTTCTCCACGCGAACCGCGTAACTCAAAAAGGTTGATCCTGCCGAACGAAAATTCAATTCTATGAAATCGCGAAGGTACTTGAAATCTCTTGAAACACTGATCCCTGAGGGAATCATTCAGTCGATCCCGCCTGGTGGGAAGTTATGGTCCCAACTGCGGTTGCGGCGCTCGTGCCTCGCCGGGAAAACCCAAAATTGTTGGTTTGCTTTGAAGTTCCCTTTAAAACCACAAAACAACCAAGGGTTCCCTGAAAAACAAAAATGCGCTTAAATTGAGCACCAGCTGACAAACCTTGGTGACTGTGTCTGGTATTGGGGTTTTCAGATGGCCAGGATGGGAAGCTGATGCTGAGCTGAGCAAGCGAAATGCCCTTCAAAAAATGATGGGCGTTCGCCGGCAAAAAGGGACACCTTGCAATTTGAAAAACACAGCTGAGATCAGCTTCCTTCTAGTTGGTGGCTTGGATTGGTGGTCTGGGGGGGTTCCCATGAACCCTCCACAAAAGCCAGGGAATTCAGTCGACTTGCTGGGTAGCTCGTGTGCGAATCAGTTTGTGCAAACCATGTAGATACCAGGCAAATCCAACATGTCTGAGTCACAAGCTCAAAATCGATCCAAGTAACTTCTCCATGGCTATGGCAGATATAAAATATGGCTATGGCACAGAGCCTTGAGAACATAGTTCGATGCCAAAGATCAAAAGAAGTCGGTGTCTGTTTTAGCTGAAAGCTATAGGGGTTGCAACTTCCAAAGAGGGGGAGCGCGCGGGCGCTTGCGAGGTTGAAGGCGGGCTCCACGGGGCAGGCAGTTTGGAGCGCCGGCGCTGGTTTGGGTTGCTGCTGGTGCTGTTTCAGGCGCTGGCTGGTGGAGATGGCTGGCGCATTGTTGCAGGATTCGCCGACAATGTGGGGCGCGGCGCAGGTGCATTTTTCAATGCTGGTGTGATGTCGGCTTTTTGCAGACCATTGACCTTTAGGGATTCACTTGTTTCACATATACATATTGGCTTAAGGCCACTTTTTCTACCAGTAGAGGTTGCGCGCACCATACCCTGTGCACAGCACTTACAATACACGCGCAAGAACTTCCAGCATCAGAACATCAGAACTTCTTGCCAGACCCAGGCCCAAAAGGCCCCCCTATCCCCGTGCGCAGATGAGTCGCTTCTGAATTCGCTTCTGGCGGGCGTGCGCAGATGGGCGGGCGCAGATGAGCCGCTTCTGCCGTGCGCAGATGAGTCGCTTCTCGCGTGCGCAGAAGAGTCGCATCTGGCGTGCGCAGATGAGTCTCTTCGGGAGCAATGATGCTTCGTTGCGGGATTGTCTTCTCCGTCAACGCAGTGCGTTCCGCGGTGATCTTGACGTTGTAATTGTTCTCCTTGGTAAATCCCAAGATCGCCATGGCGTCTCGTCCAGAGGGTACATGTTGCAATGCCTCATCGGAAGGTTCATCATCCTGGAGATGACTTGCTTCTGCCGTGCGCAGATGAGTTGCTTCTGGCACAGATGAGTCGTTTCTGGCGTGCGCAGATGAGTCGCTTCGGGAGTTGCTTCTGGTGTGCGCAGATGAGTCGCTTCTGGCGTGCGCAGATGAGTCGCTTCTGGTCGTCACCCAGAGATGCTTGGGGTTCAAATCCCTGAGCTGCCAACAATGCCTAGCTGCATGTGTCAGCGTGGGAAGCACGCGTTTCCTCTTGACTGCCAAATGTCATGCTATCTTCGTCCCAAAAAAGTTACCCTCCCTTCCACTATCCGCGCACGCCAGAAGCGACCCATCTGCGCGCGCCAGAAGCGACTTATCTGCGCACGCCAGAAGCGACGCATCTGCGCACGCCAGAAGCGACACATCTGCACACGCCAGAAGCGACTCATCTGCGCACGCCAGAAGCGACTCATCTGCGCACGCCAGAAGTGACGCATCTGCGCACGCCAGAAGCGACTCATCTGCGCACGCCAGAAGCGACACATCTGCGCACGCCAGAAGCGACACATCCGCACACGCCAGAAGCGACTCATCTGCGCACGCCAGAAGCGACTCATCTGCGCACGCCAGAAGTGACTCATCTGCGCACGCCAGAAGCCACGCATCTGCGCACGCCAGAAGCGACACATCTGCACACGCCAGAAGCGCCACATCTGCACACGCCAGAAGCGACTCATCTGCGCACGCCAGAAGCGACTCATCTGCGCACGCCAGAAGCGACGCATCTGCACACGCCAGAAGCGACACATCTGCACACGCCAGAAGCGACTCATCTGCACACGCCAGAAGTGACTCATCTGCGCACGCCAGAAGCGACGCATCTGCGCACGCCAGAAGCGACTCATCTGCGCACGCCAGAAGCGACGCATCTGCGCACGCCAGAAGCGACTCATCTGCGCACGCCAGAAGCGACTCATCTGCACACGCCAGAAGTGACTCATCTGCGCACGCCAGAAGCGACTCATCTGCGCACGCCAGAAGCGACGCATCTGCACGCCAGAAGCGACACATCTGCACACGCCAGAAGCGACTCATCTGCACACGCCAGAAGTGACTCATCTGCGCACGCCAGAAGCGACGCATCTGCGCACGCCAGAAGCGACTCATCTGCGCACGCCAGAAGCGACTCATCTGCGCACGCCAGAAGCGACTCATCTGCACACGCCAGAAGCGACTCATCTGCGCACGCCAGAAGCGACACATCTGCACACGCCAGAAGCGACTCATCTGCACACGCCAGAAGCGACTCATCTGCGCACGCCAGAAGTGACTCATCTGCGCACGCCAGAAGCGACTCATTTGGGAGGGTACCTGAAAAGATAATTTCCCTCTTGCAGGCCCCTGCCAGGTGCCATGTTAGTGGGAGTGAGGGTCCTGTCCAGAAAAGCAAAAATGATTCGGAACCCCTTCATAAGCTACGAGAAGGAAAGGTGTCTGTTTCTAGGTCAGAGCTATGGGCAAAACGAACATCTTGTTGGGTCGAATTCCTTCTCCGATCTGGCGAAGTCGATTCGATTCCGGATCATGGAAGTGCTTTGCAAGAGGACAGGGGTCACTGGATTCCACCTCAAAAGTTGCAATTAACTGGTGGTGTCCGTTGAAAGTGCTACCTTTGAGGTTGCAAAAAAGGGAACTAACAAAACCCTGTACAACACAGTCTGATTGGCCACCTCAAGGCACACGTCTGCCCATGTTGCCGGTCCCCAAAATATCTACTCAAAAAGGAGGTATTTACCATGGAACAAATGCGGTCCCAAAAATACCTTTTAAAAAAAAAGCCGGCATTTTGGGTGGGTACCCGTCAGCAACTCCGCGCTGCGGAGCAAAACCACTTCGCCAGGGCATGCGCCCTCGAACCCGGCCTGAGCTCCGTGCCAAGAGCTTGCGCCGGCTTGAGGTTCAGGCGTGCGGCTTGCCGCGGCGCGGCGTTTGGCGGTTTTGCTGCGGCTGGGCCGGTGAATCGTTTCGGAGGGTACGTGTTTTTTCTTTTTGGGGAGGGGGGGAGGGGGGGAATTGATTGGAATCTCAGGGAAAAAACATCCAAGAGAATCTGTTTTGTTTGGGGGGGTGGGGGGATTGATTGGAATCCCAGGGAAAAACATCCAAGAGAATCTGTTTAGGGGATTCAACCGACAGTTTGACACATGGGCTGAGTCCGTTTCGATGCTCTCAAACATCCTGTTCGAAAACCAATGGTATCCCCTGGAGATGAAAGGATGCCTGGAGTCTGCCTTCCAAAACGGGTGCGCCGTTTCTGGAGTTGGTGGGTTCTGGAGGGACTCGAAAAGAGAAACCCCATTTTCGGGGTCCACCTACAGGACACACCCAAAGGAATCGAACCCCCCAAGGACGTTGATTTAACCCTGGCCAAAGATCCGCGACACATCCACCGTGATGGCCTATTTAGATGCAAGAGACCTGTGTTCGCGCAGACGCAATTGGGCGCTTCGCTTGAGATTTGGTGATGCAGGACCTGAGTTGACGCAGACTGATCCACCCTGACAAACATCCACTGATTGGCCTTCGGTTTTTGCTGATACCTGTACAAACTACAGCACATGCAAGTTACATATGGCTGTGGCTCAAAAAACCGGTACCCAAATGGAACCCTGGAAAGTGGAAACATGGACCAAAACCTGCGTAACCCCTCCTGTTTAATTTTGAGCCACACCCATATGTGTCCACTCATGGGCATTCCAGGCGTTGACGGACAACCTGAACTACACGGGCGACATTAGCTGCTTCATCGAGACCCATCTGTGTACCATGGGTATGTCATTTTTTGATGCTACCATATGCTACCCTTGTTTGGGGGTTTTACAGGAAAACCCAAAGGAACGCCACTGGTTTGGGGAGGTCCAAAGATCACCATAGAGACCAAGCGGGGTTCCCACGCGGCGTGCGACACGG